CTATATCCATGTCAACATGAAACTAAGATCGTGTTACTAGAGTATTTTCTATTAGCTAATCAGGTAGCAATCTCTCTCTCGGTAACGATTCATAGTGGTAGTTTGAGGAACTGTTTTATATCACGAGTTGTAAGTTATGTTTCATAATTTCTAATTATTTTATAAATTATAGTTCAGCATTGTACTGTTAAATTGATAATTAGCATTCCGTTTAAGGTTGTTGTTGTTTGTTTGGTCTTCAATTTCTCGAAGTTGCTAAAATATGCAAATATATCGTCAACGGTGAGTAAGTGTAACAAATGACGAGGGATTTTGTTCCGTTGACAGAGAGCAATGTTAGTTCACTAATAGTAATACGAAAATTTCCCGTTCGTGCCACCTATTTCGGTTCGTGGTTCTGGATTTTTGGTGTTTTTTTTCCCCCGCGCTTCCAAGTTAACTATAGAGGAAGTAGTTGATTGTGTAAACATGCCTGATGTTGCCTTTTACCATTGTTGGTGTATTTTTATCTATGACGTACATTCTTACAGCCATGTTTAATAAAATGTTTTGAAGAAATTGGAAATCGTTTTATGGTATAAAGCTTTTGAGATACAAAACAACAAAAACGTTCCAAATAACTTCACTGTTGTTGACCAGCTGCCTTCTCTTTAGAGTTTAGTCTCTCGCTTTAAAATTGGGAACGGCTAGCGCAGATAGCCTTCGCGTAGCTGTGCACTAAATTCAACCAAACAAACAGTATAGACTTGTTTTTAAAGACTATGGTAATCCCAGACTATAAATTAAAACTTAATTTGTTAATATTCTTGAATTTTCTAGCGTCTGTTTTACAAACTCTGTCACTCGTAATAAACACAAGCATTATAGGACTTAACCCTAATTTATACTGAACGTTATCCGTTTATAGTTTACTGCAGTATCAGAAAATAAAAAGGTATTTTTCTTTAAATATGACATTATTCGGTTTACCCAACTAAGTAATTAATAACTTTAAAAAATATTCAACCTCTCTTTCCATTATATTTCAGTTTTTTTTAATTATGTTACTCGTATATTAAAAGAGATCCAGTGAAGATAATATATATATACACAGTGGCTGATTCTAGGAAGGAAAATCAATAGTACATAAAAAACCTGTTAAATAACTTATTCATCTTCTTATTTCTCTATATATAAATATTAGTAGAGCGAACATTGAACCACCATCGTTACGGTAGCGTAAATTTTAAAAGCAGTGAGAAAGTAAAACACATTTAAAATTATCTTTTGAGGCCATAATTGTTGGACTGCTTAATATACGTGGTAAATAAGTAGGCCGTTAGCTGTCAGAGATCTTTGTGTGTGCGTGTGACAGTGTATTAGTATCAAATTGTTTTAATCGAATTTCAATATGTACACGTTAGTAGATTAAGCCTTTTAGCGATGATATGCTGATTTATTATTAATGATGACATGAATTATCGTTTTATGTGTATTTTCTTCACAACTACTGCATGTCAAAAACCTTGTAGTTCTAGAATCGGTGGGCATTGTAATATAGGTAATTACCGTAAACTGTGATTGCGTTTGGAGTGTTACAGGCAAACATTTGTGAGTGACGCATGCGTGACTAACGCTGTATTCGTACATTAAATTGTGCGCGTAATTATTTCTTGTCGTAATTGTAATTCCGGGTATTTGTTCGCAAGTGTAAAGTTTCGGTGAGTATTCAGTGCCAACAGTTAAAAGTAGGGACGGTACCTGAGTATCGATACGATGTTAATAAATTATAATCTATAAAACAACTTTAACAAAAAAAACCCCGAGGAGGAGTGGGTGTGTATCTAATATTTGCACCGTAGTCGCATAAAATTCTTGAAAACATTCGCTCCTGGGTATACACATTCCTGGGTTGAGCATATTGCAACACGACTCATTTGGTTGCACTATCTTTCTCAGCCTAAATGCGTAGTATGTGGGGGATAACGAATGTGAGCCAGACTTTAGTTAAGGAGAGGTACATTTACAAATTGTAGGCCTACCTGGATCTGGATTTTAGTTAAATCCAGATACATTTACAAATTGTAGGCCTACTTAGATCTAGGTTTTAATTAAAGCCAAGTACATTTGTAGGCTTACAATATAGATTTCTAAACAGTGACATCTGTTATAATCACACACCAAAATACCACAGAACTATAATTGATGTATAGTTTTTAATATCTTCTGATCAAAGAACTAACTATATTGAACCAAACTGTAAACTAACTTGTAGGTTCACGAACTAACTGACCAGAGCGTAATAGTAGTGTTATAAAAACAACACACAATAAAATTTAAACCTGTAGTGATAAGAATTCATTCCTGTAATCAGTTTAATATCTTCTTCATTAACGATATTCCGAAACCCAGTAAATCGTAACGCTTCAAGACGGTACAGCTAGTTGATGTGTTATAGTTATGTTGGCTATTTGATATGGTCTGTGCCCTTTGTAAAATAAAAATAATAGGTGAGACTTTTTGTACATGACCAAGGCGATTTGATATTGATCTACAAAGCAGTGGTTCAGGTTTCAGCTGTGGTTGTATGTACATTATTGTACGAATAATTAAAGATGCAAAACCATGTGATTTTTGTGTAATAATACAAATATGCAATAGATTTCCTGAACTTGGTGGGCCTAGTAAAGGTTAAGCCTGAGCATGCATTCTTCCATACATAATTAACGTATAAGTGTTATTGTTCTAGAATGTAGACAGATTTATGTCTGGTAATACAGTACAGTAATCGACGGGAAGCTGCCATTGTATTAGTAATTTAGATATTGATGTGCACGCGTATCTGATCACAGACGGATAACCAAATATCCCTTAAAGTTGTTGGTTGGAAGTGACTGAAGCATGCGAGGTTCTGCACAATTGATGTAAGCACCGTGCAAACGTAATAACAGATAATTAAAGTAATAAACTGGAGAACAACGCATGCACATTAAATCAAAAATTTGAGCTTCGTGAAAAGAGATTAAATTGAAAAATTAAAGATTTAATTTTTCTATTAAGTTTATTGGTGTCAGAAACTTGAACTGTTCAACGGTTACATTCACTTTTTCTACGTTTTTTTTTTTTGCGTAATAGTAATACTGTCGATCATGTGTTCAATGAACTCCTTTTGATGATGCAAATATTCACATACGGCTTCGTTAAGCCTTTTTTTTTTGTAGACTTTTTCAAGCTACATAACCAAGTTATGCAGGAAACGCTTCCTCAAAATGCCATTGATTATTCAGGAAGTCACTTCAATTATGTCTAGTTAAACCAGTTTTAAAACCGACTAAAAAAAGGTGTAATATGCATATGATACCAGCACGTTTTGTGCTTTTTGTGGGATTGATCAAACTATATTTTCTTGTTTTATTTGGTCCGTTATGGTCCAGTTTGTGACAATGAAGCTATCGCCTAGACAGTTTCCGTTGCTCCTACATGTTAAAACCGCATCGTATACAGTTGACAAAGGAAGTGGACTGCCATTACGTGACGAAACGGGTACTTCCTGTTGACCTGAAGGTCATTGTGTGATATATTTAGCATTCTATGTGTGTGTGTTTTTTTTTTAATCCCCGGTAACTTAAGAGCTTGAATATCTTTTAAAACACATATATCGTTGAGCAGCTTGACGTAGTGAAACTTTATATTTATGTCACCTTTTAACCTTTCTAGTCACCACTTTCAAGTTCACATATGCATTTTGAACGTTTATTAACATGTAATAAAATATCATTCCTGGCGTTAGTATTGTTTACCTACACCAAGTACTTGCCTGTTTTACCTCTCTACTGTTGTATGTAATGTAGCCATATTTGCAAATTCTAAGTAGTTTGAGTAACAGCAGGTTGCTACGGGAGTCACGTGAGTGCGGAATTTCCATTTAGAAATAACCAGGTGAACCTTAGGCCTAACAACAAGAAATTATTGACATAACCAAATGAACCTTAGGTCTAACAACAATAAATTGTTGCACGAAAGTTTGGAAATTTCTCATTTCTTCATCACCAATAACGTAGACACCCAGTAACAGGTTTCGGTCCTTGTTTGTGAAGCAGAAGTTAACCTGTATAAAGAAAAAGTAACGAAACCATTATTTGAATACCTTAATTATGATTTTATAAATATAGATAGGACCTTAGCATACACGCTTAACCCTCTGTTGCACGCGTTATGAAAAGTTGGTGGTGGGAAAAAAAAAGTTTTCTTGACTTTCTTACTTAAAGACTTTCATATTGCACAAAATATGTTATAAATGGATACGTTACCTAAGAGGTAACAATGTTCAGTTGAGAAACCGACAACAATAATGTAATGGTTTATTTAGATTGTTTCCTGGAAGTGATAGCATTTAATTAGAGAATAGGAGCACGTGTATTTGCGACTAGATTTCTCGTGAGACGAGTCAAAATGTTTGCCACTTGCATTTTTCCGTGAGTGTATGTTACGTTAAATTATAAAACTTCGAAACTTAAATTTCTGGACCGGTTCCTATTCGATTAGGATCGTGTTGTTCCCTTGTTATGTACCCAAAGCAGATCCCTGTTTGATTACACGCGTAACATCTCCGTTATTAGTTACTTCATCCAGAATGTGTGTACTCTGCCATCATAAAACATGTACTAATGGGAGTTTGTTTTTGTCTGCATTAGTGCAATGGCGAACAAAAATATTACTTTTTTATTTAAGTTGCCAATTTTAGAAATGACACTGTTGATAAGCAGGAGTCATCCGCCAACCTGTCGTCAATTTTCGAAACCAGTAACCAACTTATTTGTTTTATTACCTGTTTGATTCTCGTACAGCACCTGTAAGCAGATGAAATTAACTACCTATGATTTTACCTGTACAGTAAATGCAAAAACAATAACAATAGAAGTAGAGCCAGCATAATAGCGTACTTGTAGTCTCAAATAGCTCGGTATTTTACATGCATATATATAATTTAAAGTTCGGTTTCCTGAAAATATAATATTATTACCTTATGGGTAGACGTACACATGGTAGATGACTTCTCGCAAGTTCCTACTGGTTTGGCAGGCTCAAATCCTAACATAACTGAGAATGAAGTAATAAAACGGGTTAAAAGTGTCTTGTTTTAGAGAGTTAGCATCTTGGTATATGCCTATTTGTATCTGGAAATACAGGTACAATTATTGAAGTTGTAACCTTCGTTTTATCATTCGTAGGTGATGTGATTTGTGGCTTTACTTTGAAATCTCTACAATGTGTATATATTTAGCAAAAACTTGAATAAAATACCATTTAGAGCTTCTTATAAAATGTCTTTAAAACTCAAAAATACCGTCATTTAAAGAGTAACGTTTGCGTCAAACTGTTGTATGGAATTCGTGTTTAACCTCACTGATGAGGTGTGTTATATATTTACAAATTGCCAGGACGTGAAATCATTATTTGTGACCTATTAGTTAACGTGTTAAACAATGTTAATACTAATGTCTCATGGCAAGTATAATTGTAATTATTAATTCGTCATCTTGTAAAAGGCATACACACTATTGTTGAGATTGTTTGTGACCCGTGTTTATATTTATTTATTGCCGACGCTAAACCCACTGTTGAAGTTTTGAATGAACAGTCGTGACATTCGCTGTGTTAATGTATTAAATCGTATTGACTGTTACTGATTTGTGAGACCAAGTGAAAAAAAAAGACTCGTAAAGCTATCTAAAACGTTAAATGATTATAACATTTTACTAAACACAAAATTGTATAGACCGTTACATTGCCGCCACTTAAAATAAAAATCGACAAATGGCTCTCTTAGAAGTCACTAGAAATAACTCGTCATCCTGTATTGTCTTTTATTTCCAAGACCGGAGTAGTGTTTGTTGTTGTTTTTTAAGCATGTTGTGGTTCCTGGTAAGGTTTAGAGTTACCATTATTGTAAAGTTCAAAACTATTCCTAGCCAACGATTTATTTTAAGCAAAGGCCGGTCCTTTTTTGAAACTTTTTTTGTGAAAACCGTTTTCTTCTTTCCACTTTCGTGTTATTTGTAAGATTTCAAACGAATCTTTACATCACTTAAACCTATTTGGACTCGCTAATGCAGCCTCGTTCTCTAACTAAACTGAATCACCATAGTATCAAAAAAGTATATTAACTTTCTGATAAATTTCAACAGTCTAACATTGGTAGCCTGTGGTTAACTTACCAGACTGTGTATCCGCGGCTCCATGGTTTGCGTCCCGTTACCTCAAAATCCCGAACCTGGGGCCATGAGTGTGTTATAAGAATGACGGTCAAATCCCATTAGTTGATTCGAGTAGCCCAAGAGTTTGCTGTGGGCGCTGTTGACTAACCGTCTTCCCTCCAGAGTGTCACTTGAAATTTTGGGATGCGTGTGTAGCTTTGTGTGAATATCCGGAACAAACATTTTAATATCAACGGCTTGTATAGTTCGTATTCATTGATTTAGATGATTGAATGGAAATAAATTCTTGCTCTTTCATAGCGTTTTTGGAATATTAACATTGTTTCTTCTGCGCTTCTGTATCAGTTTTAAGCGTCGCCATACTGAAACCTGCATTTATTGCTTCACAAAGTTTAGTTTAGAAAAGTTGCAGTAAGGTACATTTTAGCAGTATTTTATTACTATTAAAACTGTTTTTATAATTTGTAAAAGTTCTCATAGTAGAGAAGGAAACTTAAACCTCGACTACTTAAGGGTTTCATGAGCGCCACCTACTTGTTTTTAGTTAGTTTTTTTACAAGAATAACGCTTAACCGTTTAAGATACGTTTTGATTTTATGTATTACATGTTCTTTCCCCCATTTGTTGTTATATTTGATTGTTCCAAATATAAATGCGGCTGTTACTTGTAATGTTTACAAATGTATTATTGCGAGATAAATATCGTGTTCACATTCTACCCCCCCCCCCCTTTTCCTCTATTCGATTAAAAACAACAATATCATTTACCATCGTTCATATTCAATTTCTGTCTATTCTGTTGATACATGGACATTCCTGGACTAGTGGTTAACAGAACTGTGAATCAGTGGGTCTATGGTTCGAGTCATGTTGCTTCAAAATGTCACTCTACCTTTAAAGGCAGTAGGACGTTCGATTAATGTAAACCAAGACTTGTTCTTCCCCTGGTGTATTAGTTCAAAATCAAGTACGACTACCTCATACAGCCCTTGTGTAATTTTGCGCGAATATTCCAGACAAACAAACAAATATTGACACAGAACACACACACATAGGCGCGCGCGCACACATGTTCGTGCCACTGTAAGAACTTTGGCTCCCCTATCGCTGATGTCAGTTTTAATATTATGTTAGGGTAAGAGTCTTATACAAATGTAACACTTCCGCTGCTGTAGAAGCGACACGTTGGTCAGTAAATACTTATTGGTGTTCTATTGGTTATTTTTCTCTCAAGATTGTGGATTAAAATTTGCTGTGATTGGTTTAAGTTAAAACATAAAATCTTGTTTCTTGTGTAATCGAGGTGTGAATCATTTTACACAGATAAAGAATAGCCTAACTGAATATGTGTACGAACTTCGTGTGACCTTTGCTCTGTAACACAGCTATATCAGAACTAACTTTTAGAAACTCAAAATACCGTCCAATCGAATTTCGAGATGTTTAAATCACATACAAGAATGTTGTTTTGTATATGTCGTGACGTGTAAATATTTCCCGTAAACATTCGCTATTTGATTCTTAATGATAACGAATGGAAAAATTTTCAACCAGCTGATACAATTTTTTTTTCTCTCTCGCTCCCTAGCACGATCATATCGTGTTTTGTAATTTTTGTAAACTTCTTCTGTGACTAATGTTCGCAAGTTGGCTCATGCACGTACGATTGACCTTGTGGTGTCAATGAGGCAAAAAAAGTCGAACTCTTTAGATGCGTGTTTACAGTAAACACAACACAAAATTTTCTCTAGAAAAGAATAAAAACGTATCGGGACAGTACTACTGTAGAACTCGCTATTTTATAAACAATAAAAACGTATGAGGACAGTATTACTGTAAAACTCGTTATTTTATAACCCATAAAAACGTATGTGGACAGTACTACTGTAAAACTCGCTATTTTATAACCAATAAAAACGTATCGGGACAGTACTACTGTAAAACTCGCTATTTTATAACCAATGAAAACGTATCGTGGACAGTACTACTGTAAAACTCGCTATTTTATAACCAATAAAAACGTATCGGGACAGTACTACTGTAAAACTCGCTATTTTATAACCAATGAAAACGTATGAGGACAGTACTACTGTAGAACTCGCTATTTTATAACCAATGAAAACGTATGAGGACAGTACTACTGTAAAACTCGCTATTTTATAACCAATAAAAACGTATCGGGACAGTGATACTGTAAAAACGCTATTTTATAACCAACATATTTTATCTGTTGAATTTGTGTACTTTATGTACCAGTTTACAGCAGCAACGACTTTGGGACCATTCGCAATGTGTGTTTGTGTGAGGAGAGGCTCTAATAAGCCTTGCCTGGTGATTAGAGCACTCGATTCGCGATCTGTGAGTCGCGGGTTCGATTCTCGCCACCGAGCATCCTTGTCCACTTAGCTGCGGGGGCGTTATAAATTGACATTCAATTCCATTATTCGTTGGTCAAGAGTTGGTGGTGTTGAATACCTGTCTTCCCTCTAGCCTATTCTTTTAAATTAGTGACAGTTAGCTCCTCGTGTACCTTTACGCGAAATACAACAAACAAAGAACCTGAGCCGTCCCTGGTATGTATGTATATTTATTCGTTTAAAACAGTATTGCTAAATGGTTTGGATGTTTTAAGCTTTTACTGAAAATTACGACCGGTTATAAAACAGGGAGGCTATCTTTCATTAATAAATATATATATATTAATTTGTTAAAATAAAACGCTGTTCAGGAATACGCAGTTGCGTTGCTTACACGTTTGTGTACTGTAAACTACTAAATACGGCCTAATTGGGAGGTTAATTTGAAAAACAAAATCGGGCTTAACGTCAAATCATACATGTTCACCAGAAATGAAAGATGTCATATAAGGCGAGAAACGTTGAATAAATTTATAAATTTAAATATTTTTACAGTCTCGTGCTATTAAATTGTTTAGTGAATTAAAGTGGGGATTTAAAGAAAAGGGGGGAGTTTGTAATTCCGTACTTAAAAAAAAAAAAACGTTGGGCAGACGATGAAAGACAGTATTGATATTGCTACTACTCGACGAAACGTAATAAATTCATTTGCTTTTAACCAGTGATTTAAAATTTGTTTTTCTACTTCAAAATATCTTTATTAGCTCTGTGATTTTGCCAACGTGTTTTATTTTATCCCTATTTTCTAACTAAATAAGTTGCAAGTGTAAACAGATTTCCCCCCAAAGGTCTACGTACTTCAGAAAGACCTTGATTTCTTTGATGTTTATAGACTTTACAGTATTCATGGTTAAGATGCTTATTGAGCGAGTGTTTAATTTGACGTATATATATATTGGTTGGCAGCTTATTATTTGAATAAGGTATATCATTATGGTAATTTTATGTATATAGAGTAGTGTAAAACGTGCATAGTTTAGTGCCAGCAAACGTTTGAAATGGTTCAGGAACTGGCAGTATGACCGTAGTGCATTAGTTGTTTACGTATCTCAAGCCTGAATTATCTCAACAATATGACGTTGACTTACCTATTAAGTTTCACAACACGCCGAAGTTTCTGTAGTATCGTTCGTATGGTTTTTATAAGAAGGAAATAATAATACGTCAATAACATTTCTGGGTAAGTTTGTCAAATCTGTTCTTTAGGTTTATCAGTTAACGGTGACGTATAAGAGTTACTTTTATTGTTTTCGTGTAAATATATGAATGTAACTGTTGCCTTTAGGAGAATAATTAGATATATTTAATCAAAATCCGGGATATTTTATCGAGGGGGGTTAAAGTTTAATTTTTTTTAAAGTTCCATACCAAAAGACTTCAAAACTTACCCTAGCGGTATCACACGTTTTTAAGGTTAATTTCAGTGTATTGTAAATCTAACGTATGTAAAATTACACGTAAGTAGACCACTAAAAGATATTTATAAAAGTAAAGAACAAAGGCCGTTATGAAATTAAAATATCGGATCCTCGTAACACCTCATCAACTCCGTCGTTTTTTGACCATTTGGCACAACGACACCGCCCAGAACAGACGGGAAACGTAAAAACGTGTTCTTCGAGTGTGTAAAATAGTAAAAATGTTTTTGTTGTTTAACGATATATATGATACAGTAAAAACGATGACGTTGTAATTTATTTACTTTCTATGTATGAATGCATTTCTAGATCGCATACTTTCAGCTTTTGTTTATCAACACCTTGGTTGTCTTTAAAAGAAGATGAACAAATCAACTCCGTTGTTCAGCGTGTCTTGTAGAGAACATTTTATAGGCGGAAGGCTTTCGAAACATCGTCTTTTCAACCTGTGCTACTTTTATAAATTAGTCCTACAAGATTTTCTCAACTTTGAACTTGTCAGTTGCTGCACGTTTCAATTCTGTTGCATTTCAAAGAAAAGAAAATACTCAAAGGTTCCTTGCGCTAGCCGTCCGTTCCTAACCTTGAACTGATAGGCTAGAAGGGAGGTAGTTAGTCAATATTAACCACTGCCAACTCTTAGGCTACATTTGGGATTTAACCGTTACTCTTATAATGCACCTACTGCCTCAAAGTGCAAAGCGCTTGTTTCTTTTGGTGGTAGTTTAGGAATATTACTGACTTCAAAAGAATTACAGAAATCATACTGTATAGCTAAAACTGAAACGTTGAATGTCAGCTTTAAACGTAACGTTCAGGGATAGATGCTGTTAATGGTGGTTTATGGGAGGGTCATGTTTTTAATGAATTGTGACGTAACACAAAAAGTCATGTAACTTTAGAAACCTTCGTTTTCTTTCATGTGTATAACAAATTGAACATTTTATAGAACCAAACTGGTGAAAAAACAAAAGCTGAAACTTTACTGAGTTTGGTGATAAGTTGTAACTAAACACAAAGCTACACAATTGGATGTCTGTGCTCTGCCCACTACGTGTATCGAAACCCGGTTTCTAGCGTTGTAAGTCCAAAGATATACCGCTGTGCCACTGGGGGACACAAGTTGTAATATGTCTGGATAAAATGTATTCGTTACCCACGTGTAACGTTTATAAATATGTTTATATTATTATAAATCTAATATGAATTTTCTAGTGTGTATTGGAAATGGGTATTTTATTTTTGTAGACAGGCACATGTGATCTGGTAAGTGTTGTATTCTGTACTGCGAAGAGCAACACACTTAATAAGGAACAGCACGGCCACAAAATGTGTGAATATCAAATATAACACACTTAATAAGGAACATCACGGCCACAAAATGGGTGAATATCAAATATAACACACTTAATAAGGAACAGCACTGCCACAAAATGGGTGAATATCAAATATAACACACTTAATAAGGAACATCACGGCCACAAAATGGGTGAATATCAAATACAACACACTTAATAAGGAACAGCACTGCCACAAAATGTGTGAATATCAAGTACAACATACTTAATAAGGAACATCACGGCCACAAAATGTGTGAATATCAAGTACAACACACTTAATAAAGAACATCACGGCCACAAAATGGGGGAATATCAAATACAACACACTTAATGAGGAACAGCACGGCCACAAAATGGGTGAATATCAAGTACAACACACTTAATAAGAACAGCACGGCCACAAAATGGGGGAATATCAAATACAACACACTTAATGAGGAACAGCACGGCCACAAAATGGGGGAATATCAAGTACAACACACTTAATAAGGAACAGCACGGCCACAAAATGGGTGAATATCAAGTACAACACACTTAATAAGGAACAGCACGGCCACAAAATGGGTGAATATCAAGTACAACACACTTAATAATAACAGCACGGCCACAAAATGGGTGAATATCAAGTACAACATACTTAATAAGGAACATCACGGCCACAAAATGTGTGAATATCAAGTACAACATACTTAATAAGGAACATCACGGCCACAAAATGTGTGAATATCAAGTACAACACACTTAATAAGGAACAGCACGGCCACAAAATGGGTGAATATCAAGTACAACATACTTAATAAGGAACATCACGGCCACAAAATGTGTGAATATCAAGTACAACACACTAATAAGGAACAGCACGGCCACAAAATGTATGAATATCATACTCACTTGACACAAGAGCTACATAAATTGTCTTCCAAGAAGTAGGTGTATTGGAATTGGACAATTTTTCATACTGTTAGGCCTATCGCATTGGTGCGCTATCCTTTACTTTCTTGTGACGTCATCCCATTTTACATCAGGTTGAAAAAATTGTCACTACGCATAAAACTTGGCAAGTTAGATAGGTGATAGTAAGCAGGTGTTTGACGACATATGATACCCATCAAAACACCCAGAGTGGGCGTAGTTTGGTTGGCACAATCTTGCGCGTGGTGCCCATCTTGTGTCAAGCTGGGAGGCGTTGCTAACTGGATTGTTGCTGTTTACACTTTCATTGCAGTTCGTTTTGAAAAGAAAAGCAAAAATAAATAGGCTAATTGGTAATAAATTCAGAATATTATATGTATAATATTGAAACTGCATCATCAGGTTTCTATTGAGATTTAACTACATAAAAATCAAAGATCCAAAGTATTTTTATTAGCTCGTGCCTTATAAGTGGAAGATTACTCGTTTTAGTCGCTCGAATAACGACCGGGCTTCTATGAAAAACATAATGATACAAGTTAACTTAGTTAACGATTTCACGCGGTATCAATTATTAGACGTAATCACTGTTTGGATGTACTGGTATGTTGTTTTAATGTTGTTTGACAGTTTCTCGTATATGTCTGTTTATAATATTCAATTATTAATTCAACTGTTATGTACGCAGTATTTTGCCAGAAGTTATAACTTTTTCAATATAATAACATAATCATTGTTTTTAAGAGTACAGGATTTCTAAAACCTTATTTTAGTTTTTTTTTAAGAAAATTTGTAATAAAGAACTACTTGTTTAAAATGGTAGCATATTGATTTGTGTGTATTATTAAGTATTGCGCCATACTGAATCTTTTCGTATTTGCTTATAACAACGTACTGTCGTGAGGAGGTGGCCCAGTGGATAACGTTCCGGATATTCGCGCTCTATAGTTTGGTCCGTGGGAGTGTTATAAGAGTGACGTTGAAAGCCTACTATTCGGCTGACAAGAGTAGCCCTAGAGTTAGCGGTGGGTGGTGTTGACTAGCCGTCTTCTCTCTAGTCTATCACTTCAAAATTACGGAAAGCCAGCGCAGATGTCCCTGATGTAGCTTTGTGCAAAATTCCACAAACAAACTGTCGCTAAAATGTTGGGCTGAGTACTATGTTTCGCTGACCTCCTCATACGGACACCGGCTACCTCGGAGGAAGTAAAGAGATTCTGATACAGAATTATTTTTCGTCGTTCTCGAAAATTTGTAGTTGCAACAAAGTTGCGTGAGATTGTACCAACACCTTTTCTCATGCATCCAGAAAAATGAAATGGGCAGACGAGCGAATGATGAGCGTCATATTTATAACCATATACTGACTTGGATTTTTGGTAAAAAGGATCACGTGCAAAAGTTGACATTATAGGATAGAATGTAGCATCACCTTATTAATACCAATATTCGTTAAGAATTATGAGATTTAAAAACGACTCCGTTATAATTCAAGTTAAGACAAGCAATAAAAAATTATTTGAAGGTTTTGAATACAGAAAAAGTAAGACGTATTTTTCCTAATACATAAACAAGAATATAATGTACAATTACCATTCAGTGTCAATGGCATTTAAAATTCAGGTAACTGTTTGTGGTAGTAAACTTAACTGGGTTTATATTGTTTGAATACCGACAGGTATTTACATTGTAGGGTTCATATCATACGGTTTTACTGTTGTAATTGGTATCAGATCTTCTCTTTGTCGTGTTTGTACGCGACCTTGAGAGGTGGGGTCAGATGTTATTTACACCCCTTCCTCCCACTGGTGTTAGTCTTCATGGCGTTTGGTTTCTTTTGAATTTTACGCAAAGCTACACGAGAGCAATCTGCGCTGGCCGTCCCTAATTTAGCAGTGATAGACTAGAGGGAAGGCAGCTGGTCAAGATCATCCACTACCAACCGCACATTATATGCCCCCACTTCTGAAAGGACGAGTATGTTCGGTGACGGGGATTCGAACCCACGAGTTTTTCCTGGCATTTCTAGTTTAAGCCTATTTCTATAACACAAAGCGTCTGGTAACCACCGCGTCCCAAGTTGACCCCTCCGTTTATTTTCTTTCGGACAGGAGAAGAAAAACTGAAAATCAAGGTGAAAATGGCCATTTTAACTCACTGATGTCATTCCTCATAATAAAGTAAAAACACGTATTCATATCACCAGGAAAATAGTTTCTTAAGTTTATAACCAACTTCAGAAACATAAAAACTTGTCAATATCTCGGGTTTTCCACTTGAAGACTTTTAATATACAAGTTTGAATTTCTATCGTCTTCTTCACAGCATTGAAACAGACCATTCACAGACAGAGTGACCAAACATTTAATTATTTTACAGTCTAGAAAAAACAAAAAGGGTTCGAACCTTTAGCTTCTTCTCGAACTATCTTAGCCCAAATTTGTGTTAATTATTTTATCTTTAGGTGTTAGAGCCCATACATCCTGCAGGTAATTAAACAAGATGAACTTAACTAACAAATTCAAATTAAACTATTTGTTTTTAATTAACTTTTCGGTTAATTTAATCCCGTTGAAGTTGCATTAGGTGCCTACATCTTTGTTCTCCATGCTATGGGATACGTCAAACGGAAAGCCAACAAGAAGGGGCAAATGTGTTGTCATGTAATTAATAAAAGTAATATACCATTTAAACCACGACTATTTATTATTACAAAAACAAAGATATTTTATCACACATTTATTGATACACGTTGCAAAATATCATTGTTTTTATAATAGTAAATAATGGTGTATTACTTTTCTTGATAATATTAGTAGTTGTATCATGTACGTTATGTTAATTACGTTAGTTGGTATAAAGTTCATGTGATTTGTTTCCGTTCAAAAGAACTTTGAAACGTGCTATCAATATCTATTTCTAAACACGTTGAGCTAACGTATACTGAAGGTGATACATATGGCTACGTAACGGTTAGAACAACGAAGAGAAATCATTATTGTGCCCTGTAGGCTTTATCACACACTACAGTACAAACTAATGTAAGTAAATGAAATCAAATATGATTGGACCAAACTACCGGAACTCGTGAAGGCAGGTATACGTCAAGCGGAAACATTTTAATGGGAACTAAATCCTTCGGGGTAAAACCGATTGGAAAAATTACAGAAATTCATTACAGTATCTGCACTTGGAAGAAAAAAAAAACCTGCCTTCTTGTCACATACACTGTAACTTGTAAGATAAGGTACATCATAAAAATAATGGTGAAAAACTTGCTACCCCAATTACAAAATTTCAACAAATATTCCATTGTAGTTAGAGTTCAGTTTTAAAAAATTCCAAAATTTTATGAAGTCTTTTGCAGTTCATTTTTTTTATAGGTCCAGTTTTTAAATTTTGTTTTCTAGTATAAATGCATTTAAACTTACTTTAGAATAAAATTCTGTTAAAATTGGCATATTGCACCATTGTGCAAGTTACCATTATTTCTAGATTTTGCCCAAAAAATTTAATTCTATGTTAGCTAAGTAGATAACATTTTTTACCTTATTATTTTAGGAACTTTCCTGACAAATATAAATCATATACACAGAAAAGAAAGTTTTATTTTGAACATTATGGAAATATTGATGTTTTAAGTTTTTGATTTTCAATTAGGCTTTGGACCTTTTTACACTCCATACCACTCCTTTAGATTATATGAATATATTCCACATTTTGCTTTATATTATAAATATCTGTGGGTTTCAGAATCACTATACAGTGGACATTTCTGGAAAATCAATGCAAATTTTATTAAAAGATCATTGAAATTAGTTCATTGAAAGCTAATTCTTATTAAGCCTACATTTTGCAAATTTTTGCTACAAAATTATAAGTTAACAAGTTTTGTTTAAAGAAATTATTTCCTAAATCAGTTTTTGTTTTAGCTGTACCAGCTGTAACTCGTTCACCATGCTCCATTAGTTGTTTAACAATTACTTCAGTCCCAGACATTTGTGAAAATATAAAAACACATTGAACAAAAGTAAGGATAGAAGATTAAAACATTAGTATTTCTGAATTTATTTTGTTGTTTTTCAGAACTTGTACTAGTGCATGCTGGAAGAATTTAGACATTTTGATAATAAAGTCAGGAATTAAAAACAAATGAACTACTTTTACTCTCCAGATAATTCTTAAAACAAAAATTATTTCAACTAACCTTTCACCATTCCAGCTTCATTGGGAGTGTTAATATAAATTCTTTTACTGCTAACCCTTATGAAGCTCCAATGGTAAAGCATTGGTTTAATGTTATTATTATTATTATTATCTGGAGAGTAAAGATTGTTGTTTTTATTTCCTTGCCAAAATTTCTGAATATAGTCAAGGTAGTTAGTAGTGGTTAATTAAGTTTAAAATTTGTTCAAAGGTAGTTTTCATTGGTTTGATATTAACAAAAAAAATTTAAATAAATTAAAAAATGACAAAATTGGCAATAACCAAAAGAAGTTTAGTCAACTTAAGTTATCCTAATGTAGGTTCTTGAAGTAATTTACTTTTGATAGTGACATTACACTAAGTAGGCTTGAACCCAAAATCTAATGTTAAGTTGTGGTTAACTTATTGTTAAGTTTAAGTTACCTTTAATAGTGATACTATCACATTATGTTATCTGTTAATTACATTCTGGTTGATCAGTCTCAGACCATCCAAGCAGTGTGCTGTTGCTATAGGGAAGGAAAATGCATGTATGGAGATGTTAAATACGACTCTTAAAAAGGTTACACTTAGATTGTATAGGGCACTAGTTAGGCTACATTTGGAGTATTGTGTTTAGTTTTGGGCCATTTACCTTGGGAAGGACATAGAATTATTGGGAAGGGTTCAGGGAAGCTCTACTAGAATGGTACTTGGGATGGAAAGAGGACAAGTTAAAAACTCTGAAATTGTTTTCTCTTGGAAAAAAAAGAAGAGTTTGAGGGGATCTGATTGAGGTGTTTAAGCTTGTTAAGAGAACTGATTGCACTTGTCAGTGCAGTGTCCCCCAATTTTTAATTTTTTTTTGCACTTGATGGTGAGAATGGTAGAACTAAGAGACACAAATTTTAGTAGGGTGGAAGTCTTCTTCAATTAGGACAGTTTTATTTTCTTACAGGGTGATTGACATTTGGAATGGGCTGACTTTAGATGTGGTGGATGCAGTATGTTTAACTGAAGGTTTTATAAATATTTAAATGTTTAGTTTAGTTTCATGGGTGGGACAGCCTAGAAAGAATGACTGACCCTGTGTTGTCTTTATATTGTGTCTTGTGTTACTGTTTTTATGCTGGAACATACAATCTAATGTTATATTAAGCTATATAGCTAATATAGTTTTAGATTTAGGTTTCAATAGTTAGAACAGAAATATACTAACATCATATGTAACTTTATACTGATGGCTACAGAGATATGACTAGGCATACTTAAATAGCCTAATGTGTTTATAGGAATGCAATGGGACAGTTTTTAAAACATTCAAATGAATGTTACACAAAATTTAGTAATGTAAGTTAAAGAGTATATTCACGTATATCGACCAGCCTGTTCAAACTTTGTCTGTGCTTACATAAAACCTGAGTCCAAGTGATTGATTCTATACACATTCTTTCCTTTCTGTTTCTTCACATAATTTAATGCACAATTAGTATATCAACACTTTTCTTAAGTCACAATAAGGCATTATAACCTGTTACAGTATCATATGCAACATTAAAACCCGTTACAGTATCATATGCAACATTAAAACCCGTTACAGTATCATGTGCAACATTAAAACCCATTACAGTATCATGTGCAACATTATAACCCATTACAGTATCATGTGCAACATTATAACCCATTACAATATCATATGCAACATTATAACCCATTACAATATCATATGCAACATTATAACCCGTTACAATATCATATGCAACATTATAACCCGTTACAATATCATATGCAACATTATAACCCGTTACAATATCATATGCAACATTATAACCCGTTACAATATCATATGCAACATTAAAACCCGTTACAGTATCATGTGCAACATTATAACCCGTTACAGTATCATGTGCAACATTATAACCCGTTACAGTATCATGTGCAACATTATAACCCATTACAGTATCATATGCAACATTATAACCCATTACAGTATCGTATGCAACATTATAACCCATTACAGTATCATATGCAACATTATAACTAATTACAGTATCATATACAACATTATAACCCATTACAGTATCATATGCAACATTATAACCCATTACAGTATCGTATGCAACATTATAACCCATTACAGTATCATATGCAACATTATAACCCATTACAGTATCATATGCAACATTATAACTCATTACAGTATCATATACAACATTATAACCCATTACAGTATCATATGCAATATTATTTTACTCTACTTGATGATAATATATATGGCTTTGGATTATGAAATATTTAAATGTCAAAAATATGACTTTTATTTAAAGTTATGATATTTTTAAAGTTGTAAATAACACGGTTTGAAATTATGAAATATTGAATTTAAGTGTCAAAAATATAGAATTTATTTACAATAAATTATTTTTTTCATAGACTTTTTATAACACAAATTTGAAAAATATTACAAATACTCATGGCTTCTAGACTGACAATGTGTATTACTTTTGAGATGCTCTTGCCATCAGTACCTCCAGCTCACTCTCTGGAACCTTAAACCTAATCAAAATATATTTTTCCAACCTAGTTTGTTACACAACTCATGAAATATGATCAGCACAATTACTTATTGAAAACTAAATCATTTAGAAATATCAAAGCTAGTTACAAAAATTAGAATTGTTTACCACTAATCTGATTCATAGCAAAGCAATAATAATAATTATTAGTAAGTTAACAAACAGCAAACGTCATACAAGTTGTGTAATTTGTAATCCTAAAGCAGGCTTTCATATTTCACAGAAAGTTTCCTTTCTAAGTGTGGTCATTCCAAAGCTTTATCAAATCAGAACTTTTAAAATAAGAAGCATTTTTCATCACTTAAACTAGAGATTCGCTTCTCCATTGCTTGCATCTCAAAATATCTAAAATTCACCAGAATGTATCAGTTTTGGGCCAATTTTATTGTCATACATCTAGATACATAACTAATGCGTAAAAATAAAATATTTTTTCATATGTTACATAATTAGGTACACAATAAAACGAGTTTCAAAATTATATATTTTTAAGGTAAAAATTTATATAAACTTTCATATTATTTAAAACACCCATACATAGGTGGTTTATTGATGGAATTAAAAAGTTTAGGTATGTTGTCTTCATATATGAAACTAGAATTTCTGTTAATCATATTATAGATACAAGTACAAAGACATGCTGTATTATTGATTTGTAATTTCTAACTCCCTTGTATCTAATTTTGTCTGTTCTCTCAGTTTTTCAATGTGTTTATTAACTGGTTGTAACAACATTTTTATTAATGTATTACAGCTCTTGATCTTGCTCAGAACAGTAATGTTCAAGATGCCTTTGTCATTGCTGTGGAGCAGCAGGCCCGTGAACGTTTGGAAAGGCTATCAGCCCTCAAAAAGATCAAGCCTGTTGACATGACCAAATTATCTCAAGAACTGAATGAATGTCCCCACAGTAGTCCTGAACTAAATGGTGTTATTGAAAATAATCCAATTTATGTTACCTCTGTGCCTGAACTACAGAGTGCCACATTAGAGAGAATAAAACAGAATAGGGTTAATAACAATAAACATTTACCAGGAGACTTCATCACCAGAGAAGAACCTTTAGGTGATGAACAGTACCCAAGTGCCAATGGTCATTGCCAACCAGTGTCTTCAGAGCAGGAACTTGAAGAGCAAGACCAGGAGCCAGAAGGACATGATCAGGAGCTTGAATTGAAACAAGAAATTTTAGAAAGTAGAACAGGAGTTTCAGAAAACAAAAAACCTCAGCTAGTAATATTTTCTTCTGAAGAAGTAAGACAGCCTTCTACTATTCCTCAGACGGATGCAAATTCTATTGAAAAAGCGAGAATATTAGGAAAAGAGAAAACCTCTACTGTTTCTGTAGTTTCAGCAGCTATAAAACCTGGGCCATCAGAGGAAACAAAAGACATGATGGAGATAGAGCGAGGACCGCATCGAGAAATGGCAGTAGACGTGCCAGATTCTTTTGTAGCTGTTCGAAAAACACCACCTCGTTATCCTCCACCCAAACCAGCGATAATTTCAACAGACTCGTTAAACTTTAAAAAAGGTGTGCCACCAGAGCCACCAACTCGAACAACAAGTTTTGTCCCTGTCAAAGCAAAACAACAGGATTCAATTTCTAAAGATTCTAGTGGTTTATCAAATGTAGGTGATGTTCAGTCTTCATTGTATGGAGTAGAATTAGATCCTGACAGTGTGAAGACTGGTAGTGTGGTGTACAAACCTCATGTTAATGGAAGGATGTTATCTCCACAGACTTCTAGGTTACAGGTGAATGGTGTAACTGAAGTCTCAGTGGGAAAGAATGTAGAAGACGAACGACTCGAAAGGATACGTAAATATCAGGTAAACCTTCTGTGTTGTATTTTCTTAATCTGAACAGACTTTTTTTCGGTGTGATTCCAGAACAAGAATTTGTAGCAATGGTGATTATTTGTATTTAACTTTATAGATTCATAAAGACAGATGAATTAATCTGGAGTCAGGTTTCATACTCACTCATATGCTGTTGAAATCTGAGTAAGTGTAAGCACTAATTGAAGTATATATATATATACATATGTTCTTAATGTTCTGAAGATGTAGTATCTCTCGTTACATCATGAGAGCCACAGGGACAAAACTTATGACAATCAAACTCTTCTCTCTCTCTCTCTCCAAACTGTACACATGATGTACAGGTAAGTTGTATACATACAGTTGGCCTGGTGCCAAATTTTTAGTTTTACTTTTACTAAGCAGTGACAGTGTGGATATGTGATTACATATTATAAACTGCAAGTTTTCATCATTATGTATGTATGTGTGTGTGTGTGTGTGTATAAACCTGTGTTCATAATATTAGTTGGCAAGAAAGTGAACTGTTCTGTAAATTTAGGTAAGCAAATAAGAAAGAAAATTTTATTGTGATTGGAATTATACTTGTTTAGCTAGAAGTTTTTTTTATGAAAAGTACTCTGTTGGTACCTTGTCAGTTATAGAGTTTATTGGCCCTCGTTCTGATTACTACGATTCTATATTTCTTTACGTTTTTACTGAAACCATAAACAAAATAATGGTGTGTCTCAAGTACTGACTGTTTAGAGTTTAATTACAGGAAGATATTCGAAAAAGGAAAGAAGAGGAAGAAAGAATAGCATGTGAGGAGGAGTTTCTTAGGTCATCTTTGAGAGGGTCAAAGAAGTTACAAGCATTAGAAAGTAAACCTCAGCCACTTCCAAGGTCGGGGATAATAAACACTGCTTTTGAGCTGGAAGACGGTGACACTGGTGCTCTTCCCATAGGGCACCAAGAGAAGGGTCTTATAGGAGATGTTATTGACTTAGCAGGAGATCAAGCAGAGCCTGAAGAACTGAAGAAACTTGTTGGTAACTAGAATAACTTGTAATGTTTCTATAAGATTGTTTCAGGAAATTAGAAGTATATTTTTATCAATTACACCTCATGAAAATAGGGTTTTGATTTGCATAGACATAAGTTCCTTATCAGTTTCTTCATCTTCCATTCCTTGACAAAGACTTTTAATACCTCTTGTTTTGTTATGAAACATCTTTCGAGATTCTTTGCTTTGTATTCATTGTATATTAAACCTATTTTTTTTTAACCTTTTCTGAAACTAAAAGTTTCAAGCTGTTTTAAGAGACATGTAAGAAATTGACATGGTTATTTTGTGTCAAGCCAGGGATGGATTTACATCCAAAATAGTGAATCAAAGAAAAGATTTCTGGATTAACATCATAAAGTGTTTTAACTGTTTTGCACTAGAAAGATTGATAATATAAGTAATCTGGATGTGTGTTAATTGTATAGGTTAGATATCCAGAAGAAATCCAATATAATTTGTTATGAGTTTGACCTCAAGTCTCTGTAATATTTAGTTCTAACCTTTGATATAAGAAGCCACAAAACCATCTTGTTATTGGAGAACAATCACCACATGTAGCCACAGTACTCTGTACTTGTGAAACTTGAGAGTTTAGGAAGTTGGGAGGAAGGTGAAAGTAAAGATTATTTGCCCAAACATCAGGACTCGGTAACATAAGAAGGTCAAGTTGTTGCTCCTTAAATTAGTTTATATTGAATGTTTGTTTTATAGTGATGGTATGTAAAGATCCTGTCATTCAACATAGTTGTTAGTTGGTCAAGTGGCCAGTGCCAATATTCAAGTGATGGAATGTTTGTAAATTTATCTGTACCACCTGTTAGTAATACATGTTTGCTCTTCTATGTGATTAGTCTTTTAACATCATGGTACACTTAAATATGTGTGAAGTACAAATACACAAGTGTAAAATTATAATAGTGTGGTTCCATCTGCATTGAAAGTCATGCTCTTCATTGTTTGAAGCAAATCAACACTAACCAGATTCTTTTTTTTTTGGTGTGTGTGTGTGTTATGATTTTCTGTTTTTTTTTTCTATATTTTATTCCTCAAAACAACACGCTAAAGATCAGACAATCTTTGGTCACATTTATGAATTGTTTTAAATTACAGGAATAAAATTTTGAATTTTCTTGTGGTTATGATTTTATAAGTGTTTGTGTTACTGGAAATTTTGTAGAAATATTGTGAAAAAAAAATGTCTGTTGTTTCACAGATTTCTAGTGAAAAAGATATTAAATGCTTGAAGAATATTTTGTTTCAGTATGCTGATTAATGCTTGATCTTCATATTTGGCTTTGTTACAGTTACAAGAGTTACTGATGAGGGTTAGCAATTCCCCAAAATGCATCTAACCCAGAAATAATAACCCAAATTAAAAAGTATATAAATATCAAGCTTTTAATACTCTTTCTTCATAGTTAGTATTGGTGAAGAAAACAATAAGTTGAACAGATGGGGATATCTCGTGAAACTTTAGTGGACTTAAGTGGTAGCGGCACTTCTTCATGGGGATATCTTGTGGAAACTTTAGTGGACTTAAGTGGTAGTAGCACTTCTTCATGGGAATATCTTGTGGAAACTTTAGTGGACTTAAGTGGTAGCGGCACTTCTTCATGGGGATATCTTGTGGAAACTTTAGTGGACTTAAGTGGTTGTGGCACTTCTTCATGGGGATATCTTGTGGAAACTTAAGTGGTAGCGGCACTTCTTCATGGGGATATCTTGTGGAAACTTTAGTGGACATAAGTGGTAGTGGCACTTCTTCATGGGGATATCTTGTGGAAACTTTAGTGGACTTAAGTGGTAGCAGCACTTCTTTATGGGATATCTTGTGGAAACTTTAGTGGACTTAAGTGGTAGCGGCACTTCTTCATGGGGATATCTTGTGGACTTAAGTGGTAGTGACACTTCTTCATGGGGATATCTTGTGGAAACTTTAGTGGACTTAAGTGGTAGTGACACTTCTTCATGGGGATATCTTGTGGAAACTTTAGTGGACTTAAGTGGTAGTGACATTTCTTCATGGGATATCTTGTAGAAACTTTAGTGGACTTAAGTGGTATCGGCACTTCTTCATAGGATATCTTGTGGAAACTTTAGTGGACTTAAGTGGTAGGGTCACTCCTTCATACACTTTGAAAGTAGTGTAGTAGAGTGTATGCTAGAATTCATTCATGTTTGTTTTTGAAGTTTGCACAAAGCTACTTGAAGGCTGTCTACACTAAGTGTCCTTAATTTAACCGTGGTTGACTAGCTGGCAACTCTTGGGCTACTCTTTTACCAACAAATAGTGGGATTGACCGTCACACTACAACATCCCCATGGATGAAAGGGCAAGCATGCTGGGTGATAGGGATTCAAACCCGCGATCCACAGATTGCCCTAACCACTGAATCATAATTCATTCATAAAGTGAAGACTTATGGAGAAGGAAGATTAACAACAAAAGATAAGTTAGTGATGGATGTGGTTTAGATTATGGGCTGGAATACCGAGGGCACCCAATAAAGATCTTAAATGGAGTGGTCGTAGAAGCTGTTTGTAGCTTACCTGTCACTCATAATTAAGATTGTTATTATAACATTAGAAGTTATTACATGATTCTCATCATGCAAGTCATCAATGTTGAAATTGTTTTCTTGCAATCAGATGTGGAATGAGATTGTAATTTTGACTTATATTTAAAGGCATCAGCTTTTGCTTCATCCTTTATGTGTCAAGTTGTTAGCCAGCTTCAAATTATATGTATTAGAAATACTTTTTTTTATTAAATCAAATATTACTTGAGTTATAAATTAATTTGGGCATGCTGGTGTCCAGTTTCACTAAGTTTCAGTACATACTTCTAAGTATTATATCAGAATTTTTACATGATACTAATGTTTCTCAAGCTAAGCCATCTGAAAAGTTTAAATAATAATTGAAACATGCAGATCTTCTCATTTGTATTACATAAATTCACATTAACTAAAGTGTAAACACACGAAAAAAAATCAGTAAACTATTCTAAAAATGTGCATCATGTTAACCTTGGTAAAAGTACAGATTAAAATACAAACAATTTGGTTCACTTCAGCAGCATGTGGCTTGGAAGGGAGGGAGGAAGTTAAAATTGGTTTAAGCATTAAGTTACAGGCACTGACATTTTCTAGTGACCCCTTGACTGAGAGTAAATTCCTTTTCTATCTTCTGTCCTGTGATTTATTGGCAGAGGGTCTGCAGCACTTCAGAGAAATAGGGTCAGCTTGAATTAAGGCAGAACAGGGGAAGAGATAAGTAAACAAGTTGTTTTAAAAGAAAATTAAAGTACATCCACATCATTTACAGGCTAGTGAGAGAACCAGTCTATAAAATAATGTGTGTATGTCTGTTTGAGAGATTCAAATGTAATTTTTAAGTTTACTGAAATCAGTTTTTGCATTTAAGTAAATTGTAGTCATAAAGTGAGTAGAAATGGAAACTTGAGCCAATTGGCATGTTATCAAGATTTATTGAAAACCTCTATTAGCCTCTTTGAAGCAATGGCTTCACTCATTTTATTTCACCAGATCTTTCTCGTGTATCCTATAAAAATAATATCACTGACAGCACTAAACTTGTAACAGAAACATTTGGTTAGGTCTTAAAAAATCATTGTGGTTGGTTAAAATGATTCTGTACCCAAAAAATATGGCAACAGGATCACTGTAGATGTGATTAAAAAAAATACATTTGTGATGTAGTAGATCATGATACAAAATGTGTTTATGTGTGTTTTGGTATATGTGTGTTTGTTTATATGGAAGACTTACCAATGTTTTACAAATTAAAAAAAACAACTGGAATGGCCATATGTATACGAGTATAAAACAAGATTTTTAATGAAACTTGATTTTCGTGTTGGATAATTTGTAACCAGTCCTTTACACAATAACTGTGAAGAAATTTCACCACATCCCTGGACTAATCACATGGTCAGTTATAGCTTTTTCCAATAACTAAACAGGCTTAAAAGTATATTACAAATGTATTATTCAGGACACGGTGTGAGAGATTAAAAGGCATTTCACTCCCGAGTATTTTCAATGAGAAACTCTTAAAAAATTTTTTTGTATAGGTATTATCTTTAATTTAGAACAATTCAGCATCGACCATATAAAAATGGTATAATAGGTAATGATTTACAGTGAAAGTATAGGATTTTCAGCTTGAAGAAAATCCTAATAATGAAAAAATTGTACTTGTATTCACAGTTTTCTGTTTTGAGTAGATATAGACATAAGTTTGACACACGAGTGCACGGTTGTTGGTGCATCATAAAAGTGACAGATAAATCCTACTATTTGATCAGATGATCAGACAAGAGCAGTCCTAGAGTTGAATGTGGGTGATATTAACCAGTTGCCTTCCCTCTAGTCTATGAGTTCAAAGTTAGGGTTGGTTAAAAAAAAGTGAACATTTTCTAAAAAAGGATTTGTTTCTGGGAAGTACTGTGTGATAAAAGTGTTGTGGTTGTGTTCTTTAGTCATACACGACTCATTGCATCAAAATGATTCAACCTACAGAACTCAAAATTTTCATAATTTTTGATTATATCAACTGTAATGTTTTTATATATTAAAAGTGGTACTGTTTATTGAAAAAAAAAGTTTCTCAGTACTACATTTAAAAATTAAATCAATAAAGATATAATCAAACCGTCACATACAGTCCTAGTGAAAGTCATGTTCTTGTTGTGAGGAGAGTACTTGTATTTAAAATAGTGTTCTGTTATAAAGAAATGATTGTTGCACATACCACTGTTATTTTTCTAATTGTCCGAATATTTAATAACCAAAGTGAAATTTTTTATGGATTTTTGTTTGTGGTGCCATTCAATAGATGGTGCAGGAGTTTTGGTTATATACATAGATACTGAAATACGTGCTACGTCCATTATAGTAAGATGGTCAGAAATATCATTAAGAGCAAGGGTGCCTAATAAATGAAACAATGTATTCTAATCTTTATAAGTAGAATCATAAGAAAATTATACTTAATTAGCTATACCAAATGCCAAGTTGACTCTTAGTTTTGCTCTAATCAAAAGTTAATGTTAAACAGACAATGTAAGTGTATAAAAATGAGTAAACTACTGGAAAGACGAATTTTCATTAATGGTGTAACTTACAATAAACAGTGTAGACTGGTTAGTACAACCTTAACAAATCTGTGGTAACATTTTATAGAACATTGTAACCATATTTACATGTTGTACATTTACATATTTATTAAAATTTGAAAGTTATCATGGAGAAAATGATGTTCTAACTGTAATATGAGCGATTCATTTTGTTAAGATGTGATGTTCAGTTTGAAACACATACTGTGTTATGTGTATATACTTTATACTGGTCAGAATCGAATGATATGAATGTTATTACTGAAATCTAGCTAAATGTAATCTAAATAAAGTGAATGCTCAGCAAATTCAACTGAGATGATGCTAATGTTTCTATGTAGTTGAACTTGAATGGAACAAAGGTATTGTCTCAAGTCTACTTATAGGAAACTGTTAAAAAATATGCTGTAAAATTTCCCCCTCTTTCCTGTTTGGAAAGTATATCAGTAACAATTGTGAGAGTAAAGAATAGTACAGGTTGGAAGATACTTTATTTGTAAACTTTCACTGTATGGACAAACCTCTGTATTTTAAAGCATAAGCACAGAAGAAAGTAAGAGGTTATAAAAAGGTTGTAATTTCAGACTCTTTGAGGAAATTATTGATCTTCCTGACTTAACACCCAAGTAAAGAAAATTTCAGATACCATAGGTGTAGTTTGTGTAAAAAAAGCATGTTAAACTTACCTCAGATAGATGTATTCTAGTCTTAATACAAGTTCTGAGAGCAAGGATTCATAAGTCTTTATGCATTTTTATAAGTTGTATAAATAGTTAAGTTGTTGTTAGAACAAAACAGTAAAATAAGGAATGTAGATTAAGTATGCATATTTTTAAATTTTATTCCAGATCACCAGGAGTTGCTATCATCATTTAATAGACTTCAAACATACTTACAGAATAGTGGCATTGAGACCTTTGACTTGCCTTGCATTGAAGTTTTATTAAATGATGAAAAGTTTAAGAAGGTCTTGGCATTACATAACAAAGTTCAAGATATTTGTTGCTTCAACCCCCCACCTACTCCTTTCTCATCTGAGGCCCAGTACATCACTCAAGATGTAAGTCATTGTTGTTTTATTGCTTAGAATCTAAAGAAAATTTATCTTATTTGTAGTGAAGAAAATGTTATTTCTCTGTCTCGCTCTTACATAAATGAAAATGCATATTCTATTTTGACATATGAGCATTATATAAGTTTTAGCAATTTAATCACCTGAATTCTCTAGTTCTAATTGAAAAAATTACCAACTAAAAGCCCAAACAACATATTTAATGATTGCAAAAGACATTGCTTTCAATTTATGAAAGTAACTGAACCATCTGTTTGTTTAAGTTAGTCAGTGTACCTTGAGATGTATATATGTGTGTTAATACATCCAAACTTGTAGTGTGTTTTGTTAAGTGATATTTTAGTATTTTTTCCATACTAACTTGGTAATTTATTCTTTTGATTTGTGTTCACATTTGAGGTTAATTTTTGCTTTTTTTCACTATGTTTTTATTTTGGTTTATAAGAGAAAAATTGCAGTTCTGGTGTTATCAGACCTCTTAAAGTTTGTTTTACAAGTGTGTCATTCCAAGTTGTACACACAAATACACATGCACAAAGTGAGTTTTTTCAATGTAGTTGTGTAGATATACTCCACTTTTGCTATTAATTTATAGTAACTGATACAGGAACGGTTCAGAGGTCGAGGGTATTTGGTAGATATACAGATGGATGTGTTCAAAGACAAATTGTATACATTTATGCACAATCTGATGGTCAGCATTATTTAGATCTAATGCTAGTTGAACTTACTGCTATATTAGGTATATGATAATTTGATATTTATGTCTAATTTCACTCTGGAGTTTGTTCTTCTTTTATAAAGTGCTTGTTTTATTTTAATCTATGTAATAAATACAAAATTAATGTTATAATTTCCAGCTTATTGAAATATGATAAACCAGGTTTTTCAAAATAATGAACAAGTGTCAGTTTTTAGATTTTGGACAGTTAACAGATTTGTTTTGTAAAATAATAAAATGCAATACATTTCATTAAAAAAAATTGATTCTGATGACACAGTTTTTAGCTTTTATAACTGACACGTAAAAGGCTTCTGAATTAGAATATTAGCATGTAGGTTGAGTGTGAAACTTAAGTTAGGTCTCTTTGTAAAGCTTACAGATGTAAATTTGCAGGAAAAATACTGTTACAGTAAATCTTCTAAGAAAAAGCATAATTAGTAATGTAAAGGTTAAAATGAATTAAGCATGATATTTATGTTCAATTAATTTTTTTAAGTAATGGACTGTAAAAAGTTTACCTAAAAGTATCATAAAAATAAAACAAAAATGATGAGGAGGATCCTACTTAAAAAAATTCTACACAACATTGAAATCTTACTCGGTGACTACTTGGTATACTATCAAGTAATTATGCAGTTGCTAAGTAAACTTTTAGATTATCCCAACACTAAACTCTTAGGATTTGTATTCAGTTACTTAAAGAACAGTAAATAAAAATAATAAAACTGATGATGAGTAAATTGTTATTTATACTCTGAATTAGAAAAAAAAATATTAAAGGCTTAAAATTACAAGAATTATTTTAGCAGTGGTCAATTATTAATTTTAATAATGTATTAGAAGTGTATTTTGACAGAATAAAAATGTTTTATGTTGTATTTTTTGTGGCAATGTACATTTTAGGAATTCCTGTGACAAAGCATTGTTATTCACATTTTAAATATATGATCAAGACTTGTTTCAAGCAGATTATGTTTTCATTTGAAATACTGCAAAATTAGGGTTCATCGGAGTGAATTTAAAAACCTACAATGTACCAATATGGATTCATACCATAGATTGTGATCAGTGTTAATTTGTTTTATATTTTATTTCAACCTATACATGGTTTTGTTTCCTTGGACACTATAGAGAAAAGCATGTAGTATCTTGTAAATTGCTTAATACAAGATTATATATGTCTTGTTTAGGTTATAAACTTCTTACAAGAGTGCTCTTTGCACGAGGCTGCTGAACTACATGACATACTTAGTAAATATGAATTTGAGGGGTTAATGTTTGCCCACGACAAGGTTGCTGAGAACCAGTCTCTTCCAGAAGTGACTCCTGATGAAGAGTTGCTGGATCTTGCTTCTCAGTACACCGAAGATAGTGTTAAAATTGTCAGAATCGACAAAACAAATGAACCTTTGGTAAGTTAAATATTGCTTTTTAGTGACTGTTGTTTAGTTGACTTTGTTATTAGTGAATTTAAATATAAACTCAAAATTGACTACTTTAAGTTTTCCTAAGAATTTTGAATCAGTAAAAATTCTAAATATTTGTTGGAAATATATTATTTTTCTCTCTTACAAAACTTGCTATTTGCTTTTTCTGTTTTATAGGGTGCTACAGTGAGAAATGAAGGTGAGGCTGTTGTCATAGGGAGGATAGTAAAAGGAGGGGCAGCTGAAAAGAGTGGTGAGTTTGTAATGGAACTGCTGAATATTTATTAGTTGCAGCATAGGGGCTCATAGAATGACTCTAAGTTTGTTTGTTTTTTCAAGTACAAACTCTTAGCTCATAACACTATCATCTCTTGACCAATTTGAGATTTAATTGTAGTTTTGGTCTCAGGAGGTCAAACCCTTTCGATTGATGTATTTAACCACACTCAACGTTTCATAGATTAATTTACTCTAATTTTGCCTAAAAGAATTTCAATTTGAGGGTAGGCTGGTAGAGATCCTGATGAATAATAAAAATGCTAGGTGTTGCTGGCACATAAAAAATATAGCTAATAAAAAGGAAAAAAAGGTCTCATAGATTAATTTACTCTAATCGTACCTGAAAGAATTCAAAGTACCACGCCTATTCAGAATTTCCTCTTGTTTTATATAGAAATAGTAGAAAATACTGACTTTGAAAGTATTGTTTATACATCATATGCTAGTGTTTTCTGTTACAGAAAATAAAGAACCTTTATTTTGTTTTTATTGTATGTTCTTCAATAATGATCCTGAGTTATATAAAACAACTTGGAAAGTAAGAGAGGAAAACTATAAAGTTATAATTTTTGTAGCACACCTACATTAGAATTTATTACAAACATTTAAAGATGTTTAAATATATAATAATGAGAACTACACAAGTTAAGATTGGTTGTTCAGATTGTAATTTTAGTTTCTTCTTTCTAAGATTGTTTTGGAAATATATTTGATGATTCAACTGGTTACTTGTTTTAGGCCTTCTTCACGAGGGAGATGAAATTTTGGAAGTGAATAGTATTGAAATGAGAGGAAAATCAGTTAATGAAGTTTGTGATATCCTGGTGAGTATATTTGGAAATTTTCATTTTTGTCATATGTTGAATAAAGTTAATTCTGTCTAGATACTATTTTTGGCTGTCCATAGTTAAAATAGTCATCCTTGACTTTGAGTTTGAGGATTTTTTATTTTGACATGAAGTATATTTCACATGAGAAATATCACAATTTGACAGTAAAGCAGATTTTTTATCCTCCTATCTGAAGACACTTTATGCCCTGGCTGCAAAGTATCACAGAGTAAGGCACATTGGTTTGAACCTCAAGAATTGATCAATGGATTTTGACCGAACTTATAAAACAGATACTACATACAAAGTTTTAGACCTGATTAACTTTTGAAGGTCAAGACTAAATGGTCATTGGTACATAGAAAATCTTCCACCTTGTGGGTACGATATTTCAGTAGAGGCTGAATGGTTAGTGATTAAACTTATACAACAGGTACTACATACTGAGTTCTACTTTTGAAGGTCATCAGTCAAAAGATCACTGGTACATTGTAAATATTCCCTAACTTTATGGACAGGTACTACATCATGAAATTGGGGGAACTTAAACATACAGTTTAACATTAGTAAGGGCACAGGTGTTTTATAAACGTAACTTGCACTTGTTTAGTATTTCTTCTTGCACCTTTTAACATCTAGCTTTGATTGGTATATGGTTATGTGTTTCTTATTATCATCTTTGTCTGAATGGAATGAGTAAAAAAAAGAAATGACATGCACTCTTTACTCAAAGCACTACTCAAAAAGACAATGTATATACAACATAGTCATTGCTCTATCAGAACAAGAACTTATCCCACTGCAGATGGAAAAATTAAGAGTTTATCAAGGTGTGAGTTTTCTCTATTACGGTTGTAATTAGATCTTTTCACTTTTATCGTCGTAAATTAAAGTGATTTACCTATCACAACTGATTTGTAATATTGTAACTGTTAATGCATTGTAGATAATTCATTATATTGAAAGTGATTATTATATTGTAGCTAATTCCATAAAACTTCAGCCAATCAATTCACACACACACACAGAGTTATAGTTAATTAATCATTAAGCAGCTAGCCAATCAACTGTAACTAATCCCTTAAAACTGTAACCAGTCAAATAACAAATGCTAGATAATTCATCATAATGTAGCTAGCCAATCAACTGTAACTAATCCCTTAAAACTGTAACTAGTCAAGTAACAAATGCTAGATAATCCACCATAATGTAGCTAGCCAATCAGCTGTAACAAATATCTTAAAACTGTAACCATATTTAGCAGAGTTTCTTTAAAACTTGGAACATAGACTATTATTTGACATATTTAGCAGAGTTACTTTCAAACTTGGAACATAGACTATTATTTGACATATTTAGCAGAGTTTCTTTCAAACTTGGAACTTAGACTATCATTTGACATATTTAGCAGAGTTTCTTTCAAACTTGGAACATAGACTATTATTTGACATATTTAGCAGAGTTTCTTTAAAACTTGGAACTTAGACTTTTATTTGACATATTTAGCAGAGTTTCTTTCAAACTTGGAACATAGACTATTATTTGACATATTTAGCAGAGTTTCTTTCAAACTTGGAACTTAGACTGTTATTTGACATATTTAGCAGAGTTACTTTAAAACTTGGAACATAGACTATTATTTGACATATTTAGCAGAGTTTCTTTCAAACTTGGAACTTAAACTATTATTTGACATATTTAGCAGAGTTACTTTCAAACTTGGAACATAGACTATTATTTGACATATTTAGCAGAGTTTCTTTCAAACTTGGAACATAGACTATTATTTGACATATTTAGCAGAGTTTCTTTAAAACTTGGAACTTAGACTATTATTTGACATATTTATCACAGTTTCTTAAAAATTTTGAATATTTATTTAGATTGCTCAGTTATAAAAATTTTAATATTTTGTTTAAATTTTGAAAAAGGTATATATTTTTATACATCTTTTAAAAACTTAATGACCTCAAATAATTGAAGAGTGGTAATTTTTAACTGATGTTTGCTGTATTGATTCATACCTAATGTAAATATCCTAAATTGGGCAGGGCTTCAAGAGGTAGTATTAAGATAGTCACTAAAATACTTTTAAGAGTAAGTGTATTTAACAGATGAATCGTTGTTACCTCCTCATAACAATTTTTTTTATCTTTTTCTTTGCTTATGCTGCTAATGTGTATATTTTGGCCACAGTTCATTTTAGTTTCAACTGTACTGGATAGTATTTCAAATTCAACCTTAGAAACCTATGTAAAAAATGCTTTATTCAATGTTGTATCAACTACTACAATGTATATTTTATGTCATAATTTTAGTTTTACAGTGGAACCTTATTATTTCTAGCAAATTGATAAATTAAAAAAATTGTAGACTGTTATATGTAGGGGTGAATTATTTTTTTATTTATTACATTTATGTGCCTTTTTTATATGTTTAATAGAGGTGTTTATGTATATTTGTTTTTTATAACAGGCAACGATGACAGGAACTTTGACATTTGTGGTTGTTCCTTCTCACTATGACTCTCAGAAACTTGCATCCAAAGATAATGTCGTAAGTAAAAATGTTTCAGTGACAAATCAGGATTTTAAAGTAACTAGTCTTTTCTCACGTGGCAAGAAACACCAAACAGGAAATGTTTTGAGCTTGTTACCACCTGGACCAGGTTTTGCTTGTTTCGGAGGGTTCAAGGTGTGACCTACAGCTGAACACACTCCATACTTTCAGCTGTTGTGTGTGTGTGTGTGTGTTATGACTGTAACAGTCATTCTCACTATTTGGGTAAGAATAGTTGTGTAGCATAGAAGCATGTGTTGCTGAACGTTTTCTGTCATTTTTGGTCAGCAGTTTTATATTAGGGATGGTTATGTCTAAATCTTAGGAGCCTCTAAAACCATATCATGCGTAAAATTCTGTTGAAGTTACCACCTTTTCCCTCGAATCAATTTAATTCTTACCCATAAGTTTTTGTTGGTGATCCCTAGGATCCAAAGCATTTTAACGTCAGATTTGATTTTGATATATAGAAACAAAAACAAATTGGTGGTAAAGTTACCAAGTAAAAGTTATGATATTTATTTAAAAAACATGATCAGGATTCTTAATTAACTATTAAATACTGCTACGGCCTGGCATGGCCAGGTGGTTAGGGTACTCGACTCGCAATCTGAGGGTCGCGGGTTCGAATCCCCGTCACACCAAATTTGCTCACCCTTTCAGCCATGGGGGCATTATAATGTGATGGTCAATCCCACTATTCGTTAGTAAAAGAGTAGCCCAAGAGTTGGCAGTTGGTGGTGATGACTAGCTGCCTTCCCTCTAGTCTTACACTGCTAAATTAGGGACAGCTAGCGCAGATAGCCCTAATGTAGCTTTGCACGAAGCTCAAAAACAAACACTGCTACATTAGTTCACAAAACTCATTATACTTTTTTGATTTGTTTTTTTAAGATATTAAATGATATAGATTTTAAGATAGATGTTTTTTGTTTACACAACTCATATTAATTTACAGAGTATTATTTATATATATAATCAGTTGGATATGTAAAAGTAAGCTAGTTTCTGTTTAACATTAGTTTAACATCTTTCAAGTAGTTTCTTTAGACTATAAATATGTTATTGATAAGAATTTCCGAGTGAAAGTAAAAAATAGTGTTTATTAGTAAGACAACCAAACTATATGTGATATCTCCTGTTCCAATAAGATACCTTTCACCCAGTACTAGGACTCTTCAATCTGACTGGGATACGACATAGTAGTGGATGAGATGCAATTCTTTGTGTAAACCTTCCTAATATACTGTGCAGTCCTTCTGATTTACATACAACACTGTATCTATGACTTTTGTTGCCTAAACTACTCTGATACCAGGATATTGTACATTTATAAATGCAGGTAATAAAAGAATACTGAAAAGTAGTGATAATGTTCAATGTATATTTTGTTTCTGTTACAGGTGCATGTTAAAGCCCACTTCGACTACGATCCGGATGATGACTTGTACATACCTTGCCGGGAACTAGGAATCTCTTTTCAGAAGGGCGACATTCTACATGTCTTGAACCAAGATGATCCAAACTGGTGGCAGGCATTTCGAGAGGGAGAGGAGGACCAGAGTTTAGCTGGCCTTATTCCAAGCAAGTCTTTTCAACAGCAGTGAGTAAACAAAAAATATTATTATTGGTCTTGTACCAACATATGAGAATATTTTCGAGAAAACTTAATAGAAACAATCCATATTACGATTGACAGATCTGCTTGTATTTTGTTTATTTTTACCCTATTTTAAGATATCATGGATATGTAGCAAAAATAAACATGTTTGGCAGGGGCATAGGATTAGTAGTTTATTGTAGTAGAAATTCAACACCAACTTTAAAACACAGTACGTTGTGCATTGCCAGTATTTCTGTGGTTTGTTCTAGGAATGTTGTATTAGCATATTTCCACACTCCACAACTGAACCTGTTGCAGTTATGAAAGTTTTTTGTTACTACTATTTATGCATGTTTTTTCCTAATTGTCATTGGCTGAGGTAGTTGTATATGCACAGTTTTGGCCAATGGGGAAACTTCTCCTAAACATTTAATTTACTTCTTGAGGCAGTGGCTCTGTAAGCAGCAGTTTCAAGATAAGTAGTAGTTTTTTGTAAATAATGTAGTCTTTTGTCAAAAAGTTAAAATTTAGTTATTTAGGACTTTTTAAAATTCTACATTCATGAGTGAATTTTGTAATTTTTTACATTTTATATACTGGCATTCATTCATAGTAATGAGGAACTTTCAGGAAGTGTAAAAGTATTAGTTTTTAAGAGTTAAAGAAGGTTTGCTCTTCTATATTTTATCCAGCAGTAACCCTTTAATAAGGGTATAGAATCTATGCTGAACTTACCCAGTTAAAGTGGGAATATAAATTTTATTTATACTTTTTGATAGTAGTGTAAATTACCACCTTGAGACCAAAACTAAAATAGACAATTTGGTACTGTAGCTCCATTAATTAAATACTTGGAGCATTTTGTTTCTTTTAGACGTGAAGCCATGAAACAGACTATTGTTGGAGATACAAATAACAGAGAAAAATCTAAGAAAGGTATGTTATGTAAATTACTGAAACAATGTTTTAAAGTAAGTGTAGCTACCATTTAGTATTTAGCTGCAATGTTTATAATTTTTCAGTTTAAATATCAAGCAGACTTGCCTTTGAAAAAGTTTAAAGCCTTTCCTTGATGAGTTTGAACTCATGCTATTAACAAAACATGCAAATCAATATTTCCAAATGTCCTTCATGTATTTGCATACAAATACATCACTTACTCATGATAATCCACTTTCCCACCTTCCATGTGACTTCATGTGTGTCGATGGATACTACTTAATTTCTGCTATAAGTTAAATTTGTTTTGTTTACAGTCATGCTGTAGTACAACATTATCAGTTTGAGTGGCTTCATTGAACCTTACTTACGCAGTTTGTCAGTAGCAGACAGGTTGATATTGTCGGTGCATTCTCAGCAGTGGTAGTTCCACGTGTTCCTGCCGTCATATACTGATATTACAGAGAGGCATGCAGTGTATGTGGACGCTTCATTTGCATACCACTTGCAGTTTATTTTTGTGTAATGACAAATGTTTGTACTCAGTCCTTCAGAATCTGCAGAGCGGGTTTTGTCTGCTTCTGTTTTAGCCCTAATCCTGGCACTTCTGTTGGCCACAGTTTCTTTTACTTTTAAACATGTTTTTAATACTGACACTATTTCAGTTATGTCTGAGGGTGCTTATGTCATGTGAGATGATTTCTGTACTTGAATTTTATTTCTCCCACTTTCTCAAAATTTTTGGAATTAGTTCTGTATTCACACACTTCATGTTCCACTTTTCTCATACCACTGTTAACAAATTGTCAGTTTTCTTCCATGTACACTATGATGTCAGTTGTTTTGAAATTTTCTTTTTCTGCATGGTTATTGGTTATTTTTGTTCTGGATCAGAATATTTATTTATTACTTATATGTCTTACTCCTTTTGTTTCTATTACCAATTTTTACTTTCACTTGTTTTCTTTTCATGGTAAGCTTACCAGCGGGAGTTGAATAGGGTTTAAATATCTGTTTTTGCTTTTAGTTGTTGTTTTACAATAATGTGTGTAATATATATGTAATTTTTTTATGCTTGTTGCATCTACTCATACTTTCATTGTAGCATTCTCCTCTGGGTCAGTAGTAAGTTTACAGACTTCCAGTGACAGTAACCTGGAGTTTGGTTACCCATGGTTGATGAAGCGTAGATAGCCTATCTTATTGATTTGTGCTCAAATACATAAATATGTTTTCAGGTAGCCTAGCGTACATAAGTTAGGTGGGTCCTTTTGACTTTGTTCTGGATGGCTGTCCATATACTCTTTTGAGGGTCCCACAGACTTTTGTTTATCTCTTAGTTTCATGTGCTTTGTATTCAACAGATTCTTCACATTGATTTTTATCTCTCATCCATGATTCACCTCTTCCAGTTTCTATTTAGTTTAAGATCTGGAAGTGTGAGACTTTCTACATGCCAAAGGAGTATCGAGGTTGTACTTTTTGTTACCTCACGGTTTTACTCTCATCTCATTGTGATGACACAGACAACAGGAGATTGATCGTAGATATTTCTTGTCTCATTTGTTATCTAGATCTAAGTGGAACCTCTGTGAATTTCATGACAATTCCTTCATTACAGTTTTTGGATGACATGGAGTTTCATAAACTCATTAACCCATCTTCATTTTTCGTGTAGTGGAGTAATTTTTCGTTTATAATTCCCTTTTGGTCTAGATTGGACATTGTATGTATTCACATGTGTTGTCACACCTTTAGCTGGTCTCCTGACCACATTCAGTATTGATTGTCATCCATATAAAGATAATTAGAGGATTCTTGCTCAGTGGTTTCCTTGCACTGAATTGTCCTCTCAGTTTGCTTCTTCTTTGGGTTGGACTGTTCACAATTCTAGGTTTCAGTTTTTGCCTAATCAATGTCTTGTTCATTTGAGATTTCGTATATATTTATACTCTATCTCAATAGTGTTTGTAGTCTCACAGTTCCCTGTGACTTACGGGGAAGTTTACAGACTTGCAGTATAAAATCTGGGGTTTGAAACCTTGTGGTGGACAGAGTATAGATAGCCTATTTTGTGGCTTTGTGCTTAAACAAACAAACAAACATATGCAGTCCCATGAGTTTTGAGTATGCATACTTCTCCATCTGCCAATCATGTACTTTCTGATTTTGGAATAGTGTCTTCTTCTTTCAGTAGTGGATATCCTATTCTTATGTTGTAAAAATTCCTGCCTTTGTTACTCTATCACTGTGTTCTTGTACTCACAGACACTTGGTGATGGCATATATCAACAGGCTAGATAGGACTTTCACAGCTTTTGTTTTTCCTGTGGTTTTAAATATTTTTTATGGCTACATTCACATCACATCTTTCTTTGAGCCTGTATTTTATGGACTGTGCTAATAGTTTAGTTGCCCTGCTTGATGCTTTACTGGTTTGCTCATCCAACTTCTCTAATGGCAGATGTTTTGAGCTCTGGGGGAAAACTCATGCCTACTCTCTTCATCTTTGAGTATTCACCAAAATCATTTAATCACATTTTACTGTACTTATTCTTTCCTTGGCTGTCCTACTCCAGCATGGTTTCCACTTCTCTTGCTTATCCCAGAGAAATCCTATTCCATTACTTTAGCTACATTTTTCTCAGTGATTTTTGTCATCTCTGGCTGAGGCTGGTTTCTCCTCTTAAGTAGCTAGAATTTTGTCACATTGTAGCAGACATTCCTCTTTAGGTGTTTTTGATTAGTTATTATGACTTTTTGTCAATACATGCCAACAAACCACAGCAAGTAAGAAAGTGACACTCGATAGTAACCCATATTAGCTTTAGGATCGCAACCCTATTATTCGGAACAGACCTTTACTTTACAGATCCAACCAGATTCTTTAAAATATATGATGGTAGTTTTTCCTCTCTAAAACAGTGTTAATAGCTTCCTTTATAGTAATGCCATGGAATTTAGATTAACAGTTTCTTGTCATCACCCCCATACAATTGGTACAGCAGTATCAAGCATCATTATTTATGTTAATTGCTTAAGCTAATATCACATGATGCTCAATGCTATTTAATTAGGATAATTTCATAAAATTTAGTAAATTTGTGCAGAAAAGTGGACAATAAGTAATCAATAATAATCATCCACCCGTATGATTATTTTGAAAAATTGAGATATTAGAAATTGCTAATCTAGTTTGCTTGGCCTATCTGCATGCCCTTTCACATTATAGTTTTGCTGCTTTAAATCAAACATATTTCATCTGAATGACAAAAAACTAAAAATATATATCTCAAGTATTTCTTGATGGATTGCCTTGAAGTTGTGAATGTGAAATGAGAGTCCAGTAGAGCACATTCACTGAAAATGTGTTAGTTTGGAATACCACAGTCTGAGATACAGAAGGTGGAAAATTGCTAAACTATCACTCCTGTTAATAATACACAGTGTGTCATACAGCAGGTTGTTTTGGTTGCACGACACACTACTGTGTGTCTTAATACTGGTATCATTGGTTTCTCTTTTAGAGTTTGTCCAACTCTTTTTTTTTGTGTGTGTGTTTCGTGATCAGGACTTCTCTGCTTCTTTTGCAGGCTGCAAATCTGCGCTGTCAGCTACTTTTTGTTGACACAGGTGTCATGTGCCTCTGTCAACCATACTATATTTCTGTCTCTTTTCGAGACATGGTCTTCCTTAGGAGTTACATTCAGCCTTCACTTTTTTGTTCACTTGATTCTCTTTCTTTGAAGGTGTATTTTATTTTGTAAATACTTCGTGGTGGAAGTATTCAGACATCTTTGCCACTGATGTTTCTCTTACTTTTTTTGTGTAGGAAGGCCCTGTATTTATATCCAGATTGAGTCTTTCTACCTGAGACTCGGACTTTAAAAGATGGTAACCATTGTTCTTTTTGATTTGTTCCTACTTTTGCACAAATAGAATCCTTGGTTGTTTATATCTTATGACATATCTCATTCCATAGACTTGGCTTCATCTGTGTCAACAAATTGGTTTGAGCAACTGATTCATCTTCATTTTCCCCTCATTGTCTCAGCAGTACATCGGAGGGATTATAATCAGATTCTGATATCCATTAGTTGGCAGATGCACAGATGGCTCACTGTGTAGCTCGTTTTTTATGATGTTACCGACCACATTATGCATGGATTTTCATTACATCTTATTTGCCGTTTGGCAGCGTCTTTGGCTTCCTGGTCACTGTGTTCTTTATAGGCCATCATATAAGTTGACAAGGGTATGAATGTGTATAGTATTTTGCTATTTTCACTTCACCACATCACTCTGTCATTGGTTCTTATTCAGACTTGATGAAATTCATCTCTGGTATGGTTTTGTATTTTTTTTTTACCCAACAACTATAGTTATTCATTTCCAGAGTATCTGGTAGTATGAATAATTTCAACTTCCAAACACACAATACCAAACAAGAAAGGTACAATATTTAACTACATTATCTTCTTGTGTTTTGAGAATATGAATTTATATTGATTTTTCCTGTCAGGACTCATATGCTCTTTAATTTCCTATGCAATTCAAGTATTTCTGTATCTCTCAACAACCCTATTCACAAATCTAAAAGTGTCTAGGGATGAAATAATTTGAATAAATTTGTATGTACCTCAGTATATGTGTATTAGTGTTTGTACTTATGTTTACTGAAAACAAAACAAAAGTCAACTCTCTAGTTAGGGCTGTCACATATGCTAAACCTCTGTGTTTGTTGTGAGCAACCCAAGTATTGCCATATCTACAACTCCCCTGTTTACACATCTTAGAGTGTCTGGGATTCTGATGTTGTGCGTGATAATAATTTGAGAATGCAAATTTCAATTCGTATGGTTACTATATTTCATGCAATGTGTGTGTGTGTGTGTGTTTATAAAGAAAACTACAGAACTCTTGCCAATCACATATACCACTGCATTAGTCCTCAACACACTCATTCCATCCTTGACACTAGAGCTCCATGACAGGATACTGCCCTACAGAAGGTTGCCATCTAATGGCTGATGAGGATTCGTCCGTGATTTTAATTTTTTAATACCTCAATGTTCTTATTGCACTGGCCTTCCATTATTGGGCCCATCCTTAATGTCTGCTTGGGTCTTCCTCAGTTCTCCCTGGGCACCCACTAATTTGTCTGGTATGTGACTTCCTAGCCATTTCAGATATGGATGAAGAGGGATAATGTTTGTTTTCCTATAACGTGTCTGGATTGTTCTCCCCGAGAACCTTCCACTGCTGGACATAGTATTCCTCTTACCTGTTTATAGCTCTACTGGTGCTATACACTATTGCCACTCATAAAACTGACCCTTGTGCAACTATCAACAAGGGTATCTTGGGCCCTACTGAGAAAAATGCTTTCTTTCTGAATGTCCTTTATGTCTAGTCTTTTTTTCAATAAGGCTGGTCTGCTCCACTTGTTTTTCTAAAAATTAATTTCTTGTTCTAGATTCTACTCCAACTCTGCTTGGGTACAATTTTTTTTTGTAATATGGACAGCTTATCTTCCTGCCCTGTAGTTGTGGTTCATTAGTTTCTGTCTCCTTTATAATGCTGTCACTATTTCAGAGGTAAGTCACCTGATTGAGTTTTACATTTTTAAAATTAATTTCAGGTAAGTATTTATCTGTGAACTACCTTCCCTTCTGCCTCTTCACAAACAGATTTCCATCATGACCACAACTTTCAAATAAATCTAACTTATGATTGGAAAGCAGGGCTTACATAAGATCTACTGAAGCATGTACAATAAATCACATACAAGAGTGGAGCATTATGGGTAATTGACACATATAGTATGCAGGACTTAAAGAACATTCAGAAATTTTGGGTCGTGATTTGTTGACAGCATGAGTTCAAACTCAACAAGGAAAAGCTGTCAGTATTTCATAAGTACCCATTTAAAATTCATTTTAATTGTAATAATGTAAAAATCTTCACTGTAAAATAAATGAATTCTAATATGTGAGCACATAAATCATTTTATTTTACTATTAAAAGGCATAAATTTATATCAAACACTTGTTTGTGCAATATGTCTACATATACACAGTGTGTATGTGAAAAATATGGGTTCTGAAAATGTATTTTGGACAAAAGTCATTTCTATCATTTGTAGTTTTGTCTGCTGCCTTATTTTAATTATTAGTTTACACATATATATATATATATATATATATATATATATATTTATTTAGGGAAATTCCTTTGTGCAAGAAAACACAATAAAAAGAAAAAGAAGAAGGGGTTGTACAGTGCAAACCTTGGTGATGGTAAGTATATATGACTCCTTATAACTAACCTTTATATACGACTCCTTATAACTAACCTTTATATATGACTCCTTATAACTAACCTTTATATACATATATATATATATATATATATATATATATGACTCCTTATAACTAACCTTTATATACGACTCCTTATAACTAACCTTTATATATGACTCCTTATAACTAACCTTCCAAAAGGTGGTTGGAACAATTACCATTTGTATTTTTATAATTGGTTGCTCCTTCTCTTTATAATCTTCATCTTAGTAACTTTGATTATTCCTTTCCTTTCAGTCTCTTTACATAACTTATAGCCCCCACTCCCCCAGTGGGTCGGTGGTAAATCAGTAGACTTGTAATGTTAAAAATCAGGTTTCAATACTTATGGTAGGCAGAGCACAGATAGCCCATTGTGTAGCTTTGTGCTTTACAGCAAACAAACAAAATTTAAGTTTTTTAGTAATTAAAGAGTTTATTAAAAACGTTGTGAAAGAAAAGATTAAGGTAAAATAACAAGCTTTACAAATTGAAATTTTGTTGTATTTTATTTATTATTGACTTATAGTTTTAATAAAGTATTAAAACAAGGCTCTGTACATACATAAAAGTAAAGCTTTGAACTCTTGAAATCCAAATGTTTGGCAGCACACTGAAGTGTTGGGTGGATAATGTGAGAACATAACAATTCAAAAACATTTATTTATTTTGTTGTTGACTTAAAATTACCAAACAATCAAGTACAAATACACTGGCATTAGTTTTCACAGTAAAATAACTTTTTTGTTATTAGTTTTTTATATATATATGTTTGAAATTTGTTGTAAATTATTTTATTTTACAGAGTATGATATGGACCAGATACTCACTTATGAAGAAGTAGCCTTGTATTACCCTAGAGCTAATCTTAAGAGACCTGTAGTTCTTATCGGCCCACCGAACATAGGACGCCATGAACTGCGACAGAGGTTAATGGAAGACACAGAGCGTTTTGCAGCTGCTATACCACGTAGGTTTTTAGCTTGACTTTCATGATTTTATTTCCTTAAACACTGAAAATAGATGTACACTGTTAAAGAGTCAAACATACTACTGGCACTTCAAGAATATAAATATGCAGATACAAAATGCAATTTACAATGAACTTGTGGAATATTATCTTTGTTACAATCTTGTATTATCTTGATGTTTCTTTTTTTCATGTGTGTGTTTTTAATCCTTCCACTTTTTTTCCTTAGTTTCTTAACTGTTGAAATATGTTATTCTTTTGTGGTTGTAATATGATTCTAAAGTGTTTGGAAGTTCTGAAATGCCTCTGGATATATAATTTATCAGACTTTTTTTTTCTTCTTCTTTTATTAATTTGTTTTTCTACTGGTTTCGTGATTTCAAGGGTCACTCTTTAGGAAATAGTTTTACTATAACAAAAGCGTACAAGTTCTGCTTTTCAACTGAACATAAATAATCTAAATTAGATACATATACTTTCCAAATGTACAAACACATAGTACAGTCCATGTATAAATTAATTAAATCACAAATGTTCAAAGATAAATAAAATTAGTCTATATATTTTCCTTTTTAAATTAAAAATTATATTTTCTTAACTTTTATAAAGGAGTCTGGTTTTGTCATGGACATTACAGGATGTTATACACTTCTTTTGGTGGCTTTGTGAATGTTTTTTAAATTGTAGAAATAAAATTGTGTATGAACTTCACCCTAGATACTAGTAGACCAAAACGAGATGGAGAATTTGATAATGTGGATTACCATTTTATAACAAGAGCCCAGTTTGAAGCTGATATACTAGCTGGAAAATTTGTAGAACATGGAGAATATGAAAGGAATTATTATGGAACAAGTTTAGATGCTATTCGTGGAGTTGTAAACTCAGGGAAGATCTGTGTACTCAATCTACATCCACAGGTAAGGTCATGGGTGTGAAATACAGGCTTTATCATCATTGTTATGATTAGAATTGATACTTAGTTAAACTGGTTGAGTTTTAAAGTAATTCAGTTATTAATTATTTTGAGAATTAAAAGATGGTCAAGTGTATAATATTAAGCTTTTCAATTGTCTGATTATTATATTTTTTCCATTGGAAAAAACTGTCTTGTAATATCTGTGGCATAGCTTTTGTATCAAAATTAACAGTCAAAAGTTCATAGTATTTTGTTTTAAATATAATTTGTTTTTATCAACAAAGATTTTGTGATATTATTTTCTTGAGAAAAATCTGGTATTCAAAAAAAAAAGTCTGATTTTCAAAGATGTTACTAATGTTTTTAATTCTGAACGAAAGAAATGAAAGTCGTTTACAGTGTGAAATAAATCAGTTGCAAACTGAATTTAAAACGGATTTAATTAATTTAGTGGTGTTATTGCATACTTTTATGTTGTCATATTATTCTTGCAAACAAACAAAAAATTTTGACCATTGAATAATGTAAAAAAATATGTCACATTAAAGCTTCTTGTCTTTGTTTTTCAGTCACTGAAGATACTGAAACACTCGGACCTTAAACCTTATGTTGTCTTTGTGGCTCCACCATCTTTAGAGAAACTAAAACAGAATCGTGCCAAAATGGGTGCTAGTGTTAAAGAGGAGGAACTCAAAGATATTATTGAGAAGGCCCGTGAAATGGAAGAAAATTATGGCCACTATTTTGATATGATCATTATTAATTCAGATATAGACAAGGCTTACAATGAACTTGTAAAGGAAATCAACATCTTAGAACGAGAACCTCAATGGGTGCCATCCTTTTGGCTGAAAAACGACATGAACTGAAAGTACAATTTAACCTTCGAGTGAGTTTGTTTTGGTGAAACTCCCAATTGTAGAGAAAAAATAATTTATGAAAAGCAAAAATTAAGAAAGAAACGGGAAAACACAAATAGATAAATTATGACTTGAGATACCCATGGTTACAATATATATTTGTATAGATTGTTGCATCTGATTATCACAGCAACAAAGAAAAAAAAAATATTAAAGTTTGAAACATTTCTTTTACTTGTGAGTGTGCTTCTGCAGAACGATTGTTGAAACATTTTGGTTTACCTTACAAAGATGTCAATTGTGCCAACAGTTTGTGCAGGAGCAGGGTAATGATATCCTTGATCCCCACCTATGTAGTTAAAAAAAAAAATGAGAAAGCACTTGTGTTGATATTGATTATTTTGATATGAAAGTGTACAGATATCTTTGGTGCTGATCATACCTTCCTTAGAAATTGATCAGTTTCACGTTGTGATTCAAGAAATGGCTCTAGGGCCAACATTAATATTTTAACAGACTTTTAGCAAAACAAGACTACAGAACAGACTGAATGTGAATGGCATGTTTTTGTTTCCACATCTTCTTTAGTAACTTGAAAAGGGAAATATTTTGGTGGTACAAAATTATTTCTTTCTTTTCCCTCAAAATTGAGTAATTACATTTTTTTTTGTTTCTTTCAAACTATTTTTAGGTAGAAAGTGAAAGGTACTGTTGTCTTTATTTGTAAAATATATTGACCCCTTCATAACCATTAGATTTTATGTTGGTCCAGCCATGTAGTTTAATTGGACTTGTACAAAGTTTAGAGAAATATTATTCCAAATGTATATCTTATTCATAATTTTAGAGGTTCACATAGAGTTGTTGTAATACATGAAAACAGTTTTTAATTTTTCCTCTAAGTCTCAAGGTCAAGTAGGTTTGGTGTTATTTTAATTTTTCTCCTTTCATCATGTGAATGGACTTCAGTCAAATAAAGTGGCATCTTATACTTTATTAAATTAAATAATTCAGTGATTGAAATATTCAGTTATTACAAATGCCAGTGCATGCGTATCAGTATTCAATATAGTACATGTATTTCAAAACTGATGTCAGTAGTAACTATCTTAACCATTAATTATCTGATTGAATCACTTAAAGTCGGAGCCGGTTTAGGGACAAAAACAAAATTACAGTTCTCCTTTGTTGTGAAAAGAAAACGTTCAAACTTGTTTTTTCATCCTCATGTTTCATAAAATTAAAATGGTTCAATATCAGACTGGACATAACTCTGAATTAGGCTTTTCAGTATCATAAGTTTAGTGCATAATTCATTCTAGTACTTTTGGAAGCACTTTTTTGATGTAAAAAATTAGGTAAAAGCTTTCAGCTTGATGAAAATGTTTTACCAGAACAGTAAGCCTTATGCCAGAGGTTTAGCCAGTTATGTATCTTGGATGTATGTATTATTTGTGGTAGGTGTAATTAAAATTTTATAATTTGTCACAACCTTGTATTTGTCAAAATCTTGGCTGAACAACATTCGTTTTATATATATTCTATATCCTTTCAGTTTTTATGTCACGATAAAGGATTAGAAAACCTTTCTTGTAATATCTGCAGGGTTATAGCTTTTATTGTATATTGCACCAGTTAATACTATTGATGTACTTGAACTTTGGAAGAAGAAACGTGAACTTTTGAGTTTACTTTTAAATACCAACAATCAAATCCAGGTTTTAAATTATACTTATGACCCATTAATTAGCTTTCTTTTGTTGTTGTTTTATTTTTTGACAAAAAATACTTATGACACATAAGTGTTCTGTAGAAACAAACAAGCTGGTTTGGTGTGAAAATATTAAATATTTATCACCGAACTTTGAATCCATCATGTACAGATGATATTACAATACAATACGTAATAAAACAATTTAAATTGGTGAATAAATAGTATAATTATTGTGAGATTGTTATAAAAAAGGAATTGCACCATCCTTTCAAGTTATAGTAATTGTCCATATGGATGGAAATGGTGGAACTGTCACCTAAGCATTTTGGTCAGGGATTAAAATACTTATGCCTTTTCACAAAGAACTTTTAATAATTAGTTTTGGAAACTTCAAGTTAAACTGTCTCTCAACTTCATGTGTTTTTAGAAAGTTAAACATGGGGTGTAGCACACAAATGTATATATACATAATTTTGCAATTAATAAAACTTCCGTTTAAAAATAAATAACAATTGAAAGGATTTGTGAGTGATGTAAATCAATTAACATATCCTCCCATGGAATAATGTCGCGAATGGGTTTGATAAATTACATACTTCATGTATGTAAACTGTAGACGAATTTTCTAAGCAAGGAAGATGTCTACAAAACTTACAGTTTCATGAAAACCTTCTATGGAAAAAAAAACTTTTTATTTGAGAGTTTTTCAGTCGTTAAGACATAAGGCAGATACAGGGTGTAATAAAGAGATTAAGGAAAGCAGGATTTGTATTCCACATGGATTAAGTAAGTTTGTTTTGTTGAATGCCAGTGTACTAATAACCTCATGTTGGATAGTTTTATTCTATACTTTGCTATTTAATGTGAAACTCAGTCTGCACTAGTTATGAGTCTGGTATAATAGCTTGAATTGAATCTTGTGATCTTATCTTTCTCAGTGTTTAAGGAAGTATTATTTTGTGTGTGCTATTAGTTAGTGTTCTCTTGATAGGGAATCAGGATTTAATACTTGGGGTATTCAGGAGTGTGCTGGGGATTTTTTAACAACCGGTTCTGATTAAGGTCAAAATTTAGATAAGGGTAAAAGGGTGTGAGCCATAAAGCTAAATATTTGTTAAAAATCAACAAACAGTTCGGTGATTCAATCAAAATATAACATCCGGGTTCAGGCGACTGGACCGAACCAGCCCCAGCACAATTCTGGGGGTATTCAGAAAGTAAGCAGTTTCCATTTGACTTGCTTATGATATACAATTGCAAGAGGGGGGACATTTGTGTGTGTGTGTAAGTACTTAAGAGAAAGTTGTCAGTAATGTTTGGCTTTACACAGGAGGAAGGCTATGACTGAAGTTGGCATTAGCTAGCATGCAGCTTTAGATGTATTGTATGGCATAACATTATACAAATATTGTTAAAAAACTTTTATTTATGTTTAAAATTCATTCTTCCAAATCAAAACATCTAAGAGATCAGATCCTCTCCTAATTTATTTTGTTCTATTAGATTTTTTTTTGCCTTACAAAGATTATTTAATTGCTACAGCTTATCAACTTTTACTGTACATTTGTAAAATGATGCTGTGGGATAGACAGTCTCAGCTAAATTATTACTGGATGATTATTTAAAGGACCAACACAGACTATCATTTAAATGTTATAATATTGTAATGGAAAAATTTAGAAATCAGTATGTAGGATCATATTTTTCAAGTGTATTTCTGATAAAGAATAAATTTAAAACTTATTCTTGTAAATAAAGTGCAGCATGTAGTATATCTTTGTTTAGTAAAATGCACAAGGTGTCCATGTATTTTCTTTATTTAAAACTCATTGTTTCACAGTGTCCTATCTGGTGGTCATTAGATATGTTTTGAAGGTTCAGTGGATATATATATATATATATATCTCTTGGATTTCATATCTAAATATGGTAATAAACCTACTTTCAGGTTAGAGCTAGTCTGATCGCCAGTCTGTAATATGATTATATAAATTGACTTTGTAGTCTGTCCTGGCAATTTTTTTTACATACATCAAGAGTATCCATTTTCAAGAACACGTCAGTTTGTTAGATGCAAAGAAGAGTTGGTAGAGTTAAGCTTGTTAGAGATGCCATTAAATCAAGCCAAAGTCTCACTTGCCTTTTCATTTGAGGCTGTAGTTATGCCACAACTTTTCTCAGTATGATTTGAATCTAATGTTTTTATTATACAAGACTGGTCTCAGAATACATTCCAAAACATTTACTTTCGTAATCATACTTTTTCATGTTAGCTAGAGCTTCAACAGCCTGGACAAAATGCATATTTTTTCAGTGTCAAAAAAAAGGCAGAAAAAATTGCAAAGGCATACTCCTGTAGGTTCCAGCACAGTCGGGGTATCTGCAGACTTCTAAAGTTATAAAGATTTGACAAAGTATCCCTTGGTAAATCTTGAGATCCTTCTTGAATATGCTGCTAAATGGCATGGAAACTGATATTCAACATTCAAAAGTCAGGAGAAAATCATATCAACAGCGACTATCTTATTCTTCTGACCTTGGTTCAAATGGACATGCTCCAACCAAACTACTGACTAGATTTTCTTGGAAATGTGATTCAAAACATGAGAACTGCTTTGTTAAGGAAAATTGTGGAAGGAATTTTATAAGATACTAACCTATCAGCTCAAAGATGTTGAGGATCAATGCTATGATGAAGTTGTAAAGCTCCACCTTGGTAATTACAATCTAATGTCTTATAAAGAGAAGTACCATAAATCTTGTTGTCATACCTATACCTCTTAATTTTATTTTTCGTCTTCAACATGCTATGAAATCTAATGTTGGAAGATAAATGACTACAATAAAGACTTTTGTATGTCGATGTTGGGCTATTCAACAAGCACCATATCTAAGAATTGACAAATATAAAAAGTTAGTATTGGCAACTTTTATCTACTCTTGAAATTAATGGTCAGAGCTACAAGTCCAGAGGAATAAAACAACATCTTTTATGGCATTACAATAGTTATATTTTTTTCTATACGCCTGAAATAAGTGTGCTTGTCTTTGTTCATCCATCGAACCATTAACAGAGATAATCACTAACCAAATGCTTCAGGATGACAGATGAGCAAAACTACCAGACTATTCAGAAGGATGTCTTCACCATTTGGTGACGTAGGAATGACCACTTTAAGCCAGTTCTGATTTCACAAGCAGTGGAACCAATGTACAAAAGAATATCCTTTCATACCTCCACCATTTGGTTACGGGTAGGATGACCAATGTTAACCAGTCAGATGTCACAAACAGTGGAACTGCTGTACAGATGGATGACTCGAAATACTCGGTAGTGTATAGGATGACCACTCTAAACCAGTTCTGATGTCACAAACAGCAGCACTACAAGAATTAACAACCAACAAGTGTAAATAGGGATACACAAATGTCTGTGTAAGGTTGGTCTTGTGGACGTTCAACTGAGTATACAAATTTCGACAATGAGGAGGATTTCTGTAGAAATTACAAAGATCAATAGGTCACTAAATAAAGAAATTGATGTGTGTGCATATACATATATTTTGGATCAAAATTTTGAGCAATTGCTCTTCATCAATCCTTGAGTAAACTGCTAACATGACTTCACAAAAAGCATGTGCTTGAAATTTTGTCCTGTACAAAGCTTTTACTTGAGTGATATTAGACTTTTCGTTTTTTCTTGAATTTTTAACCATCTTGAAATTATATTTTAAATATATATTAATAATTTGAAAGATGAGATCAGATTGAATTGGAAAGCTACATAGTTCTTTAATTCTACAAAGGAAATGAACAAAAGGTTTGATTCGACAAAAGGTGATTTAATACTTGTAATTAGTGCATCACTCTGGTTACTTAGTGATCTGAAATATGATTGTAATACTGTAAAAACAGAATTTCATATATTCGTTCTATATTGTAGACCATGTAAGAAGGCTGAGGAGAAGCTGCTATGTTGTGAAAGCACTATCTGGGGGTAGTTTGTTTTATGTGTATAACGTACCAAGAAGGAAAATCTACCTTTCAAAACCTCTGGAATTAACAGATTTTTGAACTGTGATTTGTATTAACCTTTTTTTTTTTTTACATGTTTGTTCTAGAAGTGTCGTGTACATATGTATGATATATGTTAGTTACTAATATTGTCAATCCTTATGGACAAACACCAAAAGAAAATATTCATAATTATTTCTTCCCCGGTGAAACAGCGGTAAGTTTATGGACTTAAAACGCTAAAATATAGAGTTCTGTTCCAGGTGGATAAGGCGCTCGACTCACAATCTGAGGGTCGCGGGTTCGAATCCGCATCCCACCAAACATG